GGGTCGGGGGTGGGGGTGGGGGAAGGTCGTCGCCCACAGTCCGTCTTATTTGAATCTTCTCACCGTTTGGAGATTTTGCATTTTGGCGAAAACTTCAGCTCCAGGTTGCTTGTTGAGGGTTGTCTAAACAGAGTTGGCAAACCATATATTTATTTACAAGCTTCGTGCCTGTTTGGTGACTCAGCTGCACCTCCTGTTACACACCTTCTATCGGTCAGGAGCTTACCTTGAGCTGCACAAAAAGTTTCTCCTTTTCTTGAATTTGAAGGTCCCTTTCAATCACCTGAGAAGGTGAAGAGATGCCAAAGTTAATATAATGCGTTGGGAAAGAAATGAAATACAGCTGATGCACGCTCAGGACAGAAACTGCCGTCTGAATCAATCGCACCTCCTCAGTCTTGGCAATCAGTCGCTTTTGTAATGACTGAATTTTCTTTACTAATTCAACCTTGGCAGGGTCGGTCCCTTCGAGTCGTCTCCATCTGTGCACGTTCATGGGCGTTGCTAGGGCCTCAGTTAGTGCCCGTACCTTCGTCCTTTCTGCATAGTGCACAGTTCAAATTGCAACAACCGAATCCTTGTCGATTCAATATGTATATGTTGAAACCTGCATACTGAATGAACACGTCGGCGACCACACAACAGATGCACACCATCGCCGCCTGGAGTACTGAACACAAACACAATATTTTGCCTCCGCTGGCGTACCCTGCAGCAACTCTTTCTGTAGCTGCAAGATTTCCCGCTTAAGGGACTCTACTTCAGCAACGCCTCCCTCAAGGTTGCGCAGCTCCCGCCTGAACGCCAAGCACTGTCGGCTCCACTCCTTAATTTCCTTCAGTCGCTCCTGCATACATAATCAAATATGTCGTGCATCAATTCTGAAGCCAACACTTTCCAACCCCCAGTCCTCACTAAAAAACACCGTAATCTGAACTACCCTGACAGATAGAGATTAAGTGTTGTACGCAGCAACCAGATCCCACAAGTTCGATAATCATTCATGTATAGGCGCACCTTGTACTGGGCTTCGCCCTTTGCCAGGGTGGACTCTTGGATCCTCACTTTTTCGTACAGGAGGGATAGCTCCTGGTTTCGCTTTAGCAGTTGAGTCCCTAGCATGTCCCTCTCTGCCAATATCTGAGCAAAACAACTAACTTAGGCAGCAGGCGTGTACGGCCCAGTGGCGACGAATATTCGACTCATTGCGAGCTGACAGTGTCCGTTACTTTAGCCACAAAAGACGGTGCAGTTCTTTCCGCTGGCAACTTTGCTGCACACCGCTGAGAATTCCTTTCCCTGGTTCGCTTTTTCAGTCGTCGCTTCTTGCATAGTTTCTTCAAGCTTTTTGATTTCCCGTCTGCATATCTCACCACTTAGTTTGTTATTTTCACTTCCATGCGCATGCGAAAAAAAAATGGGTACGTTTGAGGCCTCAGCGGTTAACACTGTTCTCTAGCTTGCAAGTGTGCAGCTCCGGTGTAAAGATATGTGCATTCAACTTGCTTTTGTGCAGCAATAATTTGCTCAAGGGAGCCAAGTTTCTTCTCCGCCTTGCCCAGGTCATCCTTCAGCTTTTCATTTTCGGATGTAATCCTTCTATGCTCGAAATGTTGTTTCAGAAGTCCAGCGTCTTTTGTTTTTATCTCTTCCTTAAGCTGGCCCACTTGCTGAAACATGAGCTTGAACTTACTACAGCAAAAGAGAAAAGGCCAGCTGAAAGAGTGACTGCTCAAAAATGGTCCGTTGGTGTAGAGCTTGTGCAATTCCGGGGAAAGTGGCTTTTACAAAATGCCTAGCTGGAGTCGAACGGTTTTTCCCTTTTTCTGTGGCATTATGCTGCGGTTTAGAAGGGCTCTGTCTTGGTTTATCTACTTCACAATTTAACGGTGTGCTTTACTGTTTCAGCTCCGTCATTTCGTCGAGGCTTGCTATCAGATTCCTTGAAAAAAGGTTCCTGTCTGATCTCACAGCCTCGTAAAGGGTTTTTTGTGCAGCAAGTTTCGATTGCTGCTCGCCGATAGATCGCTGCAAGTCTGCAACTCTAAGCTCCTCATTTTTCAGCTGCTCGAGGCTCTCCAAGTACCTACAGAACAGCACAACATCACGTTGATGTTTTTAAACCTGTTAATGCTGCGACAGAATTCTAAAGTGTACCTATAACAGTAGACCTAAAAGGGCTGGGAGTCAGTGCCTAAAACGGTTGGCTAAAAGAACTACTATGAGGTGAGGGTAAGGAATATAGTGCAAGAATGCATTCTTAACTAGCCAGTGACAGCGCCATACTTTTGGTTGCTTTTGTTTAGAGTGTGCCCATAGCGGTCCCTTTCCGCTTCGAGAGCTTCGACTTTCTGCTGGAGTTGCTGGCATTCGCGCCGGAACCTAAGCGAAAGAAGAAGAGCCAGGTACACGTTGGTAAATGGACCTTTAGGCTGTTGGCAGTCGACAAAATTGCGGATGAATGCAGCACCCGGAGCTGCCCATAGGTCCCTGGTGAGATGGGCAGACTAGAGCTATCAAATAAGCAATAGCGCCAATCCCTGAAAGTTGGCTGACCCATCAACCTCCTTTTCAAGATGCTCGCAGTGAGTCAGTTGTCTCTTAGCGTGGTCTGCATGCTTCTTTGCGGTGGCGTCAGCGTTTAAAAGATTCTTAGATAGTAAATCCCTTTGCGCACAACAAAATTCCCAACGTGCTGTGCGAAGCACAGCAATGGCCACCGCTGCAAAACATCCCCATCCTTCACATGCAGAGCTGCTACCTAGAAGCAAAAACAGCTCATGTACTTCTCAGAGCAGGCAAAATGGCTCGACTAATAGTGGCCCCATGACCGTTAGCGTTTCTGAACGGGCAGTCACCTCTCGCGCAGCAGTGATTCGATTTGCCGCTTGTCAGTCTCTGCCTGTATTTGGTACGAACAGCACATGTCTTTGCGGCAATGACATTCAGACACCGCGTTCATGAGGTACAAGTCTAGGGAGGAGTCTAAAGCACAAACTTGTGGCCCTCGATGTGGACAGCCATTTCTTTGGATGGACGCACTACACTGTTTCGAGCAGCTTCATTCCGGTGAAAGCAGGGCAATTCTGAGTGGTAGAGTTCGTACCTGCTGCTTTAGTGTATCAATTTCCCTCTCCGAAGCAGCTGTTTCCAGCTTAAGAGCTGCAAAATTGCCAGCACAAAGGATGGACGACCACAGCAAATTGTCACTGTGGTTGAAGGCTACGCAAAGCCCTTATGGCAATGCCAATGACTGCTCTTTGGTGGAAAAGGTAAAGTAATACAGTCAAGAGCAAGCAAGAGTGTCTATTAACTGTACGTGCCCGTTGCCTGCTCATCCAGGGTGCGCTTGTCCCCTTCGAGGATTTGCATTTTCTTCTTTAATAATTCGTGCAGCTTGACAACACGGTCCTGCAAATGCGGCTCTACACAACAGACAGAGGAGGGATTCAAAGTGTTCAAAATCTGGCAGTATAGTACACTGGACCGGAAAAAGATTCCAGCTGAACCTGCCTCAGCAATAGCTAAGCACGCTATACTAGATTGATCACAATTTGCCGAACTCTTGCTCACTTTCTCCGCTCGCATTTTCTCGATCTCCTCTTGCTTTGATTTGAGTTCAGCTTCTCTTTCCCTACATCGGAGAAAACTATGTAAGAGGCGAGAGCATACGTTTCGCAGCTTGCGAGCCATTAGGAGTTAGGGTCTTTGCAGCAGACACTCAGTACAAGATGGTTGGCAGAAGCGTGGAGAAGCTAATGCTTACTCGTTCGCTGCCTTAAGACGGCTATTTTTGTATATCTGGTCGTTTAAACGAAGCTCCGTTTGCTGCACACCCTCAGGCCCACGTTTGAATAGTCATTGGGGAATTTAGAATGGCTCTCACCAGTGCAGCTTCAGCGCGCAACATGTAATCGTACGGACTGTTTTTAATTCGTGTGCGAATCTGACAACGGAGGAACCTACTTACAGCTATGCGCCTCTGGATTTCTTGCGATTCCTGTACCTCTTGCTGAACCTGTTGCTGCGTCATAGCCAACTGCTGCTGCAACGAAGCTATCTGAACAGGTAAAGAAGACGCACTCAGTAAGAAACTTAAATTCTCCAGGTGCACATGGAACACTAATGGCCTTCCCGGAAACATATTCCTCGATTCAATTTTAGTGCAAGGCATTGTGCCTACTTGCTCCTCTGATTGAGCCAGATCTGCCTGTTTCCTGGCAAGCTCTTGTTGCTGCTGCTCGAAGTGTGCTCTGCAGGCAACCACGAGTGTCATACCACTAGACAGCAGTGGTACTAACGGTAAAGAAACGAAAACAGTCTCATTTTCTGGTACTCGACGACTTCGAAGCTTGCACGTGCATTGCGGTTGCGTCACTCTTTAGTGGTTCTGCATCAAGCCACGCTACCCGTTTTGGGCATTACTTGTTTTGCTTAAGCTGCCTTTCAAGCCTCTCCCTTTTCTTTGCCTCCTCATCAGCAGCAGCACGACGGTCCTGCAATTGCTCCTGTGTAGTGTATAGGTCCTGTAGACCTGAGAAAGCCCGCCACCCACTTTAGACAGTTGCCCTAATGCAGTGATTCGAACACCCGCCTAGCGAAACAGAGGGGGCATTCAATGCCGCACAACCGATGGCAGGGGCTGAGCAACAGGCCTGCCATGTAGCCCTCTTTAGAAGCTGGTTCTGCCAGTGCGCCGATAACTCTTTTTCATACTTTTGTATTACCAATTCGTTGAATGGAATGAACAGGATCAGCCCTCAAGACCTGTTGTTCTGTGATAAGGCTTGCCTTTGGCTAACTTTGTTTCGAGGTCTTTAATCGTCTTCATTGCTTCGACGTTATCTCTTGCGAGGGAGTCGCTGGTGGACGTAAGCCTGTCTGTCGCTGTATAGTAAGTGCGAAAAGAGGTGCGCACCGATACAATTAATCAACATGTTGACAATACTCTGCGTAGAAAGCGAAAAGCGTTTCTAAGCAGTAGAAGTCACTGCGACTGTGCAGCACAGGAGAGCCCGATGTTTTTCACAACAGCGTACTGGATTGTAGTTTGTCTCGCTCTTGCAACAATTCGTTCAGCCGGGCATTTTGCTGCAGAGAACGCTGCTCTTCTTCGTCAATCCTCCTAAAAGCCACACACATTTAATTATTCATTGAGGTGGGCGATGCAACGTAACACAGGGAGTCGGAGCAAAACATACTTGTAGAGCTCTTCAATTTGGGCACGAAGTTGGTTTGCTGCTTTTGCCTCGGCGGCCTCCTGTGCCTTGCCATTCGCAACCTCTATCAGCGAAGCACTTAAGTCCTGGATTAAAACCGAATGAGGCGGAAGCAGAGCACACTGCTGTGACCAAGCTTCTAATTCACGGTACATACTGCTGCCAGAGGGACGTAGGGTGGCTCGAGCGCTGCACCTTTCTGATTCAACTGACCCGTTTTAGCCTCTTGATTGTCTCCTCTTCCCCGCTGGCTTCTTTCAGTGCTGCATGCACCTGCATTGCGTTGGCTTGTAGAGCACTGCTCAGATCCATACATCTAAGTCAGCATAGAAAAAGCAGAACACTACAAACCTAGCTGGGCGACAGTGGCTAGGTCAGGTTGAATGCGAAAGAAGCATCGTCACACTCCAGTTATTTTGCAGTTTGGGTGGGACTCTGCGCTGAAGCGCACTTTGCCTTGAGCTCCAGCTCATTTTTTTGAGAGTTCTTAAGCGCCTGATGAAGCTTTTCATATTCATGTCGTAAAAATTCTAGCTCTGGATAGGACGCCAGCTCCTGTTATGCATATTGTTTACATATGCTTTACAATATGCATAAAAGCTTCGAGACAAGAGTAGATGCGGTTTGCCGCAAATCTGAGACATTAGGTCCCAGTCCACACTTCAGCAATGCTTAGCTGCCAGTGTGCTGGCCAGAGCTATCTTGCCAACGCTACCTGCTCGTGGTGCTACTTGTGCTGTTTGTCACCTTCAGCACATCCTCCCGTTCATTCTCTTGGGCCTTCATGGTTAACTGAGCTATGTAAGAATCATCTGCATTCAGATTTGCCACATTATCGACAGGAGCTGTCGTTCCTGAAACTACAGGTCCAACAGCGGAACCCACAGCCGCTGGAACCTCCGTTGTGCTGTCACCCTTGTAGCTGAGGCTCCGGTAGGCTAATTGCTGTTGAGCTTCTCGCGAAGGGTCAGCAGCAGATGGAGCGACGGCGCCAATGTTGCCCTTTTCGCTATCTGCATCTGGGGCTGAGCAAACAATTACTTGACCTCCGCTGTCGGGGTCGTCGTCCACAGAACGAAGCAATTCCATGGCACGCCTCTGTTCAACATCCCCCAAATCTTGTTCTTTTTGTTGCGCCTGCTCAGACTGCTGGTTGATAACCTGGGCAGCTTCAAGAGCCCCAATTGCACCTGGTTGCTGTTCCTGTGGAAGACGGTCTGAAGTACGATGCAGATGGTCAGAGGCCTGCGCGTCACTGACCACATCCCCAGAAGTAGGGGTGTATCCGGTAGAATTGGGCCCATGCGTCTGTGCACTATCTCGTGGAGTTTCTGATAGGTTCTCCGTCTGTTTTTCGTCCACGGCGAAACTGGCGCTTCTTTTGCCATCCATTGTGCTGAGAGGCCGTTCATGCCCTCACTGTTTCTTATATTCGGTCCCTTGTAGACCCTAGATCTAGATTAAGTGTTATGAAACGCTCTCTAGACTGCCTGGAATGCCACACCTCAGCTGAAACTGGCCGTGCTGCCTTTCTCTCGCGTGCGGTAACTAGGGTTTCTTGCGGGTCTCAGCATCTAAGATTTCTCCTCTGGAACCCGTCTATGGAGTTACTAAATTATGAGGCACAATGCTTATATTTTTGAGGGTATTGTCACGTGAGGCTGCTGCAGTTGTGGGGACTGCAGAGCGGTGACTCCTCCTGATCGATGCGGATGCGACGTTGCAACTGCAGCAGGAGCGAACATCGGGGAGTTTTGTCTTCATAAAAGCCGACAGCCCCGACTATTAAGCACTGTAGCCTTTTCTGTGTTGTGTTTTCGCAGTTCCAACTGCGACGTGTTTAATGCTCGTTTAGTCGGATCGGGGCTGACGCCAAACGTTGCTGTCGGCTCGTGCTGTCTTCGGGGTGTTGCTTGTCTGCCATCACCTAGACCTTGTCTTATAGTCCAGTTGGCCTGATTAATCATTTCATTGCATAAATAATTGAAAACTGGTGCTTACTGCCCCTAGAGCGTGTTTGGCCTTCCGCTGCGAGCAGCTGAACCCTGCTGAGTCACTACACGGAGTACCTCACAAAACATACGCTACCCGGCGAGAAATCTAAGGGATATAGTTAGGCCAATTCCAGCTCTATTTAACAGTGCAAGTGTGGCGGGACTCCTATTTGGAGACTGCCTAGGGAGACGGGTATTCAGGAGTATGTAGCCTATGCGTTCACAACACCGAGTAATCCCACTCTAAATAGTCCTCTACTACACAAACGTTTCATACTGTGGGCCAGTAATAGGGATTATGCTTGCACACATTTTCAAATTTAGACCATTTGCGGCAGATGAGGCCGAAAATATTCTTCGGAGTGGAGGCATCGAAGGGATGGAACCAAAAAAGAAGGATGCTCTCGTGTTCTCTACAAGAAAAATCCCGGCAGATGAGGCCGAAAATATTCTTTGGAGTGGAGGCATCGAAGGGATGGGACCAAAAAAGAAGGCGCTCTCGTGTTCACTACGAGAAAAATCTCCCAAATCACCTCAACTCCTTGGAGGCTAAGAGCAAGGATTGGGCTGTCATCAAAATAGGTGGGCTCATTTGTAGAACGTACCCTTCTACAAAAGCAGCCTATCCAAGTTAATCAGGTTCAAGGCTCTAGACAACGGGCCTTCGGCTACACTATGGCCTCACCAACGGCTACAGGGAGTTCCTGGACACGAAGACGTTTCCCTCAACTATATAAAACCACGCGGAGGGTTCCGCTCCTCGGAGGGAGCTGTCCCACTACGTGTGCGCTGGGGTGGCTCCGGCGGTCTGGAACGGGCGACAGAATGCATTTGTGCCAACATGTGAGAAACGTGTAAGCAAACGGCGGTATTAATCTAGTAGTTAGAAACGATTTAGAAAAGCCACTATATGCCATTTCTGGAGAGCGTAAGCGCCATTCTACGAATATCAAACACGGCCTCTGAAGCTCTGAAGCTTGCTGACGCGACTGCAGTGGTAGAGGAGCAGCTGCTTATTGAAAGCAAGAGTTTCAAGGATCAGCCTGCTTGGCCCAAATTTGTCCCCAATTACCATGCCTTTGGGATTATATGAGTAAACACGTATGCCCCATGGCATGCCTCGTGCGCCCTGAGCGAAAACCCTCTTGTCTCTGAATACATGCGAGATAACGTCGTCTGCATTGATGACACTTCAGCACCATTCTAGGAGTCGTACATCTTCCAAAGCTGTTTTACTTGATTGTCAAGGATACTGTACTTGTGCATTCTGTGAAGTTTGCTCTGTATGCAACAGGTACGAAGTTCGTAGGACCCGTGTGTATGCAATACGTACTCCTAAATATGGGGTTTCCACCAGTCTGCTTCCCTTACCCACAGGCCTAAAATGCTTGAGGCCAGTATGTGGGGCACCGGTAGCTAGTAGGTACATTTCACAAGAAATTTTTGAGGATTGCGGAGGCTCCCAGGACGACCATGCGGAAGTCTGCCCCACTTGGCAGAAAAGAGAAACCGCTGACTCTCTTCTTCACAGCCATACATGATTACAAATGCAGTCTATATGGCTTAAAATTGGTCACAGAATAGTTTTCGTTGTTCGCGACTTAGCCTCCCAACGGTTGGGTTGTTGCCCTCAGCAGGAGGAAGAGACTGGCCATGCATGGGAGGCCAACCTGCCCACAGGCGGGTTGTGTGCAGAAACGTAGGCTGCAGGTGCGATTGTCTGGACTGAAAATTTCAGCTTTCAGGTCAAGGGACTGGCTACTGCTGTGCTCTGAGAAGCCTAAAGATATGCTCTGCTTGCGTAACACGTTGGACTTCCAAGGGGGCGTTTAGTTGGAGACTGGGCTTGAGAGGAACCTAACTTTTAGGGGTTGCAGGCATGCCATTCCAGGCAACTTGAGATGAAGGTGCCGCATCAGGAACTGAAGTAAACGTGTGGAATGTTATCAACAGAAGATCAAAAAGCTCTATCGACTTCGTTGTCAGGAAACACAGCGGAGCTAGACTTAATACCTATCGGAGTGGCCTTGACTATCTCACCTTTGTTGGGTTTTTGCTTGTTTGAAAGTGATGTCTATACCTTTCCTCAGGCACTCCGATGGAGAACGGTGAAAGAATCGCCATATGGACGGATGCACTCATTCTGAATTCCTTAGCTCTGTACTATCTTATCGCGACCTGCGTACCGTTCTCTGTAGATGTACTCCTACTTGAGCACAGACACGCTGCTGGCTAGGGCATGAATCAAAAGACGTTTTTGGGTCGCTTACATGTAGGAATTCCCCCTCTACAGAAGTTGCAGCAAGGGCTGATCAATTGCCTCCCCCCGTCACACCAGCCCCAGGCCCTCAGGCAACTGCGGACAGGAAGCCTGAGACTGGAAGAGAGAACACACGCTTTTTCGGAAGCCTCTGACTACATATTCTGAATCGTTTGCATCCCACGATGGTCCACTGTTAACGCCGAGGAGCCCCAGGTCAACCAATTCATTCCCTCGGAGTTACCACATGTCGCCGAGCCTCCCGTTGGCGAGCAGCACAGACTTATGTCGAATAGACTCCCTTTGAAGGCTTCTATACAAGTCGGTGGTGCGCCAAATGCAGCTTAACTGCCAACAACAACATGCCCCCTTTATGGTCAAACACAGATTCCATGCGAAGTTCCGGAAGCAGCAGGTTGCTGTTATCTACGGAGAGCTCGGAGTAGTTTCCAAACTAACGGACACAAATGATTGCACCTTAATGCTTTCGTTTGCTACCTGCTTAGGCGAAGGTGTTGGACCTGTACACCTGACTGCTCATAACCGGACACAATGCCGTTCACAAAAAGAAGCCGTTCGATCCGCCAGGTTTCCCACTCAAGCAGGGAGTGGTTGATTCCCCTAGCTGTTCTTTGAATATATTATGAATGACTCCCTCCATTATGAATATTTTGTGGTGGGAGAGACTTCCCAACAGCATGCTGCACCCGGTGAATGGTTTAACCGGTGACCCTAAAGCGGCAGCGCCGTAGTAGCACACCTGCTGGAAGGAATGTCCCCCCTCCTCATATAATCAATTACAGAATGCGGTTTGGGCCACGAATGTATGTGCTTTTCGGGACCCAAGAAGGAACGCTTAACGTTTTAACACCTTTGGTATGTGTGGCCCGCTCATCCTCTGCGGGGCTGGAGTGGCCCAAGGGAGTATTGCATTGTTCACAGGGAGTACCCGCCGTCTGCCAAAGAGTTCAAGCACAAATATTTCTGGAATTCCAGGCCCGAAAACGAGTGGTTTGTAGCGAAGTACATTGTATCGAACGGCGACGAGAGGCTTGTCCATGTCAACCTCTCACCGATATACGCCGCAAGCTCCAGCCCGCTAGCATTGAAGTTAGGTGCGTGGCAGTCCCTTCCCTTTAAGTTTGAGAATAGCGGTTATGCCTCCAAAAATAGCTATTCAGGTAGGAGTATCTTCACAATTGCCGCGTAGCACCACGTTGACTGGCGAAGCCAGAGAACGGACCCTAGTGCAGAGTTGTGCATCATCTATTGTGCAACAATGACCTTAAAAATGGCTCGTAATTTTGCATTGCTCCTTTTCTGCAGTATAATGAGCAGACAGCATTACTCTTCCGAGCGCCTCTATGTAGGCAACTTGCCTTATGACGTCACAGAACGCGAGGTAGACGACCTGTTCTACAAGGTAAGCACCAAGTACCTCGCACTTGCTTTAGCACGAATGCACTTGGCAGGAGCTGTGCAGAGGCTGAGTTGTGATGTGTTTTGTGACGCTTTCACGCAGTTTGGGCGAATTCGTGATATCGAGGTGAAACGAAGCCGGAAGAATGATACCTCCTTCGCCTTCGTCGTGTTTGATGATAAGTAGTAAGTGGACAATCGACTGGATGTGTAAACTCATATTTCATGCATGCTGCGTGGAATGACAAATTCGTTAGTTTAGTTGGGAGTGGACTCAGTTCGAAAATGCGGCTGCGTACACGTTTACGACGTACGCAGCTCTGTAGATGACGCAATCGAGCGGCGTGATGGGATGCGCTATGGCGATATGTGCCTCCGAGTCGAACGCGGTGGGGAGCGCCGTGGTGGTCGTGGAGGCGGGGATGGCGGATCATATGGACCTCCAAGACGGTATGCCACACCACAAGTTGTGGAAGTTGCAGTATCAGTTTGAACGAAAGGCGCTGCATGCATGTGCGCGGGGGGACAAGCGTGCTTCTGTCTGAACTGAACTGGCAGACAACACCTTACAACAGCGTGCTTATGGGCATGAGTGGCAACGCTGTGTACGGGAAGCACGAATGCCGTTGACCCGCTGTAGAGGATTTGGTTTTGGTCTAAAGCTGTTGCACTGAAGGCATATAAGCGGCTGTTAATATGTGTCTCTTCTGACCCTCTTCTGTCCGCAGATCGGCCTTCCGAGTTCGCGTCCACGGCCTGCCTCCAACTGCAAGCTGGCAGGACTTGAAAGATCATATGCGAAAGGCTGGGGATGTCGGCTTTGCAAGTGTGGAGAACCGGGTAAGATTGAGGAACAGGAATCGAGCGTTGCCCTTGACCCACGTTTTCCGGTTTTGCGGCTTTCATTGGGACACGGCACTACTTTTGGAGCAATATGTTACGTGGGACACACCGTGCAACGTGTGCGACTTTGGCGAATCTTGTACAAAAGCGAGTATAAATACTGGATTTGTATGCTTTGATGGAGATATTTGGTGCTGAGCTATTCCTTTCGAGCAATAAAAAGTCCCACAAGCGGTTCTGCAACGGATGTATTAGAAGAACGCTGCAGGTACATCCAATCTGTGGGGGTGTAGGGTTCAGGGAGAGGTATTTGAAGTTGTTCTGGAACCCCGATGCTGTTGAGAAGCTTGACCTAGCTGGCTGTGGGGAGTTGGTTTGCAAGGGTGCGTATGTGACCCAAGCGCCGGGGACGTGGGCCGTGGGAGCTCCTGTTCTGGGTTTTCGTCTGGATTTCCATTCGTTCAAAGGGATTGGTCTGGCACTATTTTGGCTTTTTCTCGGGAACGGAGCCTTTATCCTGAAGGGAACTAGGCAGCACTGGGGCAGCATGAGTTTTGTTAGTCGTTGCGTGTTGCCTTCGGGGTACGCCAACTTCGGCGTGACATGATTTTTGTTAAATAGTGCATGACGCCGTTGGAGTATTATCAGATCGGTGCTCTCAAGCCTATTGCTTGACTATTGTCTAATGCTGACAGTTTACCCAGTGAATTGCCAATTTCTGGTTCGCTGTTCAGGTAGGCATCGTGGAATATCCTACTCGGGAGGAAATGGAGTACGCGATCAAGCGCTTGGACAGGAGCGAATTCTGCAACATTTTTCACCGTGCACAGATCCGCGTCGAGCGCGATTACGTGAGGAGTTGCTCCACTGAACTGTTTGCTGAACAGTCAGAGCCCCCAGTGCAGTGTAACATCGCAAGCATCCCTGAATTGAGGCATCTGGATATCTGTGTCGCCCTTCGGTTTGCTTCAGGGGTCTGCTGGGGAGGAAGAGTACGAGCGTGTTGGTCGGTGAGCCCTCACTAGTATGCTTTTGACCCTATTTTTAATTGCTTTCCCTTGCCCCTGCTCTGTGCTACAGTTAGTCTCCGAGGTGGGAGATTTTCGCATCCACCAAAAGCGCGTGCTTCACTTGCGTAGGAGGAGTCGCAGCTACTCGGAAAGGAGGAATCGGTCAAGGTCTCCGAGGCGCGAGTCATCGCATGCTGAGCATGAATCGTCGTCGAGACGCCAGCGGGATTGTGCAGGCTCTCGAGAAGCTTCTCGCGCAAATGCGCATTCTGACATCGAGCAGTGCCCGTCGGTGCGTAGTGACAAGGTAGGCACAACCGATTCCAGGGAAACTCATGAATCGCACACACGCCCAAATTCGCGTTCTGGGTCAAATTCGCGGGGCGGTTCATGCGCCACTGAAGTGCATGGACGAGGAGATTCTCAAGTCGGTGAACAGAAAAGAACCAGTGAACCCGCTGGGAGGCTGAGGTCTTCTTCGGGTAGCCCACCTTCCAGACATACAGATGAGTCGCATCCTGTGTCGGCTATCGAGGCCTAGTTATGTCGGAGGGGCTTCCGACATTTCCAGGAAGTGACGTTTTTCCGCCTTCATTTTTCTTCAGATGGCCACAACCAGGGTTTTAACTGCTGCCTGCCTTATTCTCACTACCGAATCTTTGGTGTACATGGTATGTGCAACTTGTCAGCGCTGATGGGAAGAAATTAGGGCGAATCCCTTTTTTAAAATAGATGCTATGCGCATGTCCACATTATGCATTACATGCTGGCCAGATGTGGGTCGGTGGCACGTGCTCGACAGCAGACTGAGCTGGCTAGCGGCTGCTCTTCTAAATGGGGTTCGACATTCTTCTTGTCCGCGCAAATCGAAACTTTGGGCCCTGGCACTACACCGTTTCAGATTTGGTTGGGATACGTCGGATGCACACAATGCATGGGACAACTTCACGCGTGGTTGCGAAGCTAACGACTGCGGTTGGCACTGCTGCGACCTGCAAAGGACCTGATAGCTGGCTTATGCGGCTGTTCATTGGGGAACACTGATGTACAGTTCGATTTGTTATATGATTCAGTCTTACTGTATATGACTGCCCAAAATGCAACCCTGCGTACACGAGTGCTCCGCAGCCGATACAGGCGTGTTCTTTTGGACTTCAGAATGCTCTAGTTCTCACGACATGATGAAAACATGCCCTACGCTGCTTCCCACCACGGGTTGTGGTGAAGTAGGGAGCAAACACCTGAGTTTCTTGAGATGCATCTTGCATCGCCTCGTCGTTCCATCCGCAGATAGGGAGAAAGGCAGTTGTTTAAGCTAGAGGAGCTCGTGGATTAGGTTGCCGACAACAACTTTTTGAAACGGGTTTTCCGGGCATCGAGTGGGGTGCTTCAGCAGTGAGTTGACACCTATCCGACATTACACTGATTCGTGGATGTCGCCTTCTTTCCGAACTCTCCCACAGTCTTTCCTCTCTGAGCCACGTCTGCAACATGAATTCCTCCAGAAACGCTTAGCTTTCCGGTGGCCCGTCACACCCGGACGAGCAGGAATAGAAGCACACGCTGGACACGCTGTTTTAGCCCAATATCTGGGCTGCCGGTTCTGCCTAGTTGCACAGCTTATCACCTCGGATGTATTTCGTAGAGGAGCTCCCGATGCATCCATGCTTGCAACATTGCTGACAGGCTGCGTGAAGTGAGCCTCAGCAGTCAGATCCTGTTGGGCTTCATGAGCATATTGATTGCTTGCAAGTTCTGATCCCTCGTGTACCTTCCATGCGGCTTGCGCAGCCACAATGGGTAATGACGGTAGCTGCTCGACAGTAAGAATATTTTCCGTCGCACTACCAGACTGACTCAGCTGCTCGCGTGGGGTAATGGTATTGCCTCCAGTGACGGGGTCAGCATGAGGTATCAAAGCGTCTAGGAGGAAAAGTAGTTCACGGTCGCCAAGTGAAGCATTGTGGCAGGATTGGAGGCGGGCGGGCTTCAGTGGGCTCTCTGGAATTAGAAGCCACCTATTATCTAGCTGTCTCTCGACAACGGTGTGTGTTTCTATTGTTGATGGAGACTTCCATGGGAAGGCTGCACTGGCCTCAACCGCTGCATCTGCTCCTTCCGAACACTTTGTGCCATAGTGAGGATCCTCGCACTTTGCTGAGGGAGCGAAATGCCCTTCAGGTGATTCTCCTCTCTCCTGATTGTGATTTAAATCGGTCATTCCAGTTGGTATTGCCTCGTCCCCAAACGCGAACAACTCCTCTTCCGTCACAGTTTTAATGTGTATGCCCTGGCCTCACCAGCAACGAAGTGTGACTCTGCCACCGTTTCTAAACTGCCCCCACTCCTCATGTGCAAGAACATGGGAAGGCCTCTCAGAAGCCCTGACAATTCCATACGTGAGCAGTCCAACTGAGCCGGGACCCACAGTTGAATATAGCTAAGGGCAGCCCATTTAATCTTTAGGGCAGTAATGATGCATTTCGTAGGCATATGCATTTGTTCAATTTTTGAGGTGTGGGTGTGCAAGTAACAGGAACTCAAGTGATCTCAGTGGGATAGCTCATCCAACTTACCTGCCCGCGCATGTTTGCCGCTTGTAAGCATGGGGAGGCAGGTGGCAGTTCACAAAGAGTCTCCTTAAATTCCACATGGATTTGCTTGAAGTGGCGAAGAACTTTGTACCTAGTGGTAGCGCAGTACAGTGTGTAGCACTTGGCAATTGCCGGGAAAGGGATATAATCCGTTGGTAGCAGCAAGAGTGCGTTCACTCTCTTGGTTGTAGGGATTCCAACCTGCTGGCAAGTAATTCTGAGTACTTGAAGACAAAGGGCATGCGAATTAACTCAGGAGTGCTGGGACGTAAATCGGGGTCCTTTTGCAGCATGCGATTAATCAGGTGGAGTAGATCTACAGCGTAGGTTCGAGGGGGAACATCCAAGCATGTCGGTGGAGGAGCACTTGTAACCTCCATTGCGAGTTGTATTATGTTGTTTCCTGCATTAATGTGTCAACAGAGAAGTACTGCTGTTGTGAACTGCCTTAATTATGCCATTTGCATGTGGCCAGCCTGGCGCAGATAAGTGCACACTAGCCAGCAGCACCCCCCGATGGTGAAGGAGTGGGCATACCAGTGTATGGGTGTTTCAGGCAGCAGAGCTCGTGAAGAACACATCCAAGCGACCATATATCTGCCTTGTAGGTATATCCTTGGCTGGAATGTATTTCAGGAGCCATGTAGAGGGGCGAGCCCACGTATGACTTCCGAATTTTTGTACGCTTGAAGCTTTTAGCAACCCCGAAATCCCCCAGCTTTACGAGGCCATTGCTAAATAGAAGTATGTTCTGAGTCTTAATATCTCGGTGCATAATACTATTTTTATGTAGATGGTGTAGCCCGAATAGGCATTGCACAAACACAAGCATGATATCCTGCTCCTGGAAGAATGGACTTTTCTCGCAACAGTTGCACTGATTTCCAGGGAGCGCACCTCGTGATGCCTCATGAGCGTTCTTTTGTTCATCTAGCAAGGTCTTTCTGTAAAGAACCTGAGTAGCAAGATCCCCATTGTCTGCATACTCAATGACAAGATTTAACTTTTCTCCTTCGTGGTCAATGTGCGCTTCGACGTAATTAATAACATTAGGGTAGGGTTCCAAGCTCTGTAAAATGCGTGTTTCACTCCACGCCTCCTGTCTCTCTCGAGGAGTTAGCGGCCCAAGATCAACTTCTTTGATCACACACATTTTACCTGAATAGAAACGGGTATTCAGCCCTATGTTATGAAAACCCAGGGGACAGGCAGCCGCTACGGCGATTGTTGAAGCTGGGCCTCGCCTCTCCAGCGTAGAGGTGCCGACTATTCATATACACTCTGCGGATGAACCGATACGGGTGAGGGATGGCACAATCACCCAGGAACCCCCCTTTGAGCTCAATTGCGGCATATGAGTTGGTGGTACACAGCAACAGCACTGCCCACTTGTGAGTATTACGCGCCAGACACAAGAAACAGGTGCATTCAGTGGTTCACACGCGTACAAGTTCTTGTGTCCTGAGCAAGATAGCACTCGCCCTGAGCTCCAGACCCAATTTTCTTCAACTTCTCATAATTCTCCATAATATTGGGTTCTAGAAAATGTGACGCAACGTTTTTGAAGGATCCACTGTTTTTAGTCTAGCCTGCGACTTATTGGCACTCTCGCAAGTGTTTTTGAAGCAGCTTTACGAGGTAACATGCCCCGATTGTTGTACTAGAGTTTGATGCTCAGTATCGAATCACCGTGAACATGCACAATTGTGGAGGCGAAAAGCAATCCGAAATCCCGACTGCCAACAAATAACAGAGCAGTAAATATTCTAGAGGAACGTATGTCTTGAGGAATGCTAATTGTTGCCATAAGTAACCGCGTGCCACGCTAACCGCCGCAAAGTGTGCTAAGTTACACGACATACATGGACCCAGCACAGCGCATGCAAAGCCCTTCATTTACACGACGCCACTTCGACATGAGTAATAGGTTGTACTAGAGGTATAATGCGCTACTCCTTACTCTAGGCGAAACACGCCGTTTTTCTTGTCCTGGTAGAGGATTGCGGGTGGCTCATCAAATCGGCCACCTGTGCTCTGGATAAGGTACCCTCGTAAAGTAAATCCGTCAAAAATTGAGTGAGAGTACAGTGGTGTATATATAACACCCCCTAAAATGTCATTCACGGGGCAACCCTTTAAAACTCTTTCAGGAGCAACGAGCGAGAGGACTGCATGCCGGGTTGTGGAGGGGAAGTTACTTCACGTGTCGTCGAAGGAAAATGGCTCACAAACCATTTAAGCATTTGGAGAAATATGGAGGTGTGGGTTTGGAGCATTTTCATCCATATGGGGCATTGACTGCACTTACTTATAGTCTGGCACTAATGGCGAAGATGTTTTAGTGTAGCACCACATAATAGTAATTGTGCTGGCACCTTCTTGCCAGCGCTCTGAGCTGACTTGGTCTGTTGTTATATTTTTCTTTATTATCACATAAGACACCTGATACTCCGCGAAAGGGAAAAAGGGATTAGTTCGATATCATGCATCATATCATGCATCCTACTCACGCAGTGCTGCAACAAGGCTTAATTACCCTCTCCCGAACTTCACCCTAAAACCAAGCAGCATCTGACTTCGATATCTGAAAAATTACTTCCCCTTGTTAAGAGTAAACCTTCCTTGTGGGCAAATTGTGAGCATCACCCACTTGCCAGCTATACTTCGATGTCGTAAAACTAGACAAGCAATCCACTACGCTTGTAGCGATGCGGTCGCCATCGGCTCCTGCAAGTGGAAGGAACTCCCCCCCGCAGAAGGCTATGGCCACAGTAGGCAACCTTGCTATCTGGACTCGGCAGGAGAAGCTCCACTAACTAGCAGTAGATTGCCGCTTTCAAAGATTGCCGTAGGCTTGTCTCATGCGGGTTGTAGTGGGAAACGATAAGGAAAGTAGGAGTATACAAGCAAAGGAGAGGAAGTACGTGTGGCTGAGCGCGCCCTGTCGTGGCGACTTAGTGTTGATGGAGCCTGTGTGGAGCAGGGGTAATCCGCCTGCGTAGCAGGAAAATGCCTGTCGCCGCCCTTGGAGTGTTCCATCTGTTTTGGATGTCACAGAGCCAATATTAGCCTATGCAACCCAGTCGAAGATGGGAACCCGCGCTGTACTTTGAGCATTTTGGTCATCTGGAATTGTGAATGACTGCGAAGCTCCAGCTGTATGCGTTCACTGAGCTCTTTTTAGAAATCCGTACAAGCTGAAAGTTTCGGATTCCGTCCAGTGCTCAAGCTGTGTCGCCACACTCAGTTTTTACATTTCCCTGATAAGCGCGATTCGTGATGACGAACAACGCTCCGGTAGAATCTACATCATTTGCCTTCACGGAAGCGAGGCGCCGCTTGTATATTCCGTGGCCTCGCTCGTACAAAACGTAGGGTGGAAGTGGCACCGCAACTAAATGAGGGGCAAGGCGTTGTGATATGCGCTGTTAGCTGAAGCATTTGGTATTCCAGCGTTTTCCCATGATGACACACATGACGGTGGTGGGAGTAGATGAAAGTTGACGTATGCGTAGTCTGCAATGAGATCTTTCAGTGAGGCAGCAGCACAGTCCAACGCGTCTTTCTCCAAGTATTGCGTGTAATGGTGCACGTGCGCCTGGATACATGAATCCGCCAGTTGGATCCTCTAAATCTACAGAACTGCGTTTATAGCGCAGGAACTTCTAGTGGATACAATAGACAACTTGGAAGCTTGCTCGGTGCTCACCTGCCTCGAATATAATTTCAGGAACCTGCCTAAGATGCGGCCTAAGGGGTGCCGGATCTCGCATGAATTTAACAAACTAAGGAGAGACATCCGCTGTGGGTGAATGCACACAAGAAAACGTATCATCCCAACCTCCAACTGAATTTAGCAATACAGTCTGGTCGCAAGTTTGCTGACGTACAGGTGCCTTGGCACATCCATGACATTTTTCTGCCTTAAATATCTGGTAAACCGGCTCGAGCTTACCTGACCAGGTGGTGGAGTTGAGCATACTCCAAGTCTGGTGGAGCCTCTACAGAATGAGGGGAACCTCAGATATCTCTTCACCCTGCAGGCAAGACGGATGCCTACGCAGTAATTCAGTCCTTGTCTACAAATTGCCTGCTAGAGCAATTTCGATGAACCACAAACCTGTCAGCGAGTTGGACAAAATCACCCATTATGCACTGGCCCCGAAATAGAGCTGCCCAGGCCAGACACCTGAGAACAACGACATAACTTGGGATATTTTGCAAAAGCATTAGGCGTTCCCAGACAACAAACACCCCAGGGGAACATGCTTAGCCTTGAGTGGATGCTGCCTTACGTGCCGGCCTTTGGACGAATGTCCAGTAGCTGATGGCTGGGAGATAGAACATCAAGCAGCATATCTACAACTCGTGAAGCCTGTTGATTTATTGTTCGTACATAAGACATTGCCTTTTTGTCGGAAGGCTGTACTGGATTCGGGATCCCTTGGAGTTGGCCCGGGTTAGACTCCAAAGGGGACAAAGCACTAGCCAAAAAGTGGAGACCCTTGTAAGGAACCAGATTGCTACTTATGTCCAATAAATCCATGTCTAAGGGGCCGCTGAATCTTGCGGAGCTGACACAATGGGCATCAAAAGGGTAGACCGAAGACACATAGCGTGCTTTCATTGCAGAGGAAGAGCTCTGCACGAACAATCCGTTAGTTATTGCTGTGGTTGTTCGACTTTCGGTTCTTTTAGCTGGAGAGAGTCTGGTGGCCTGTTTGTCTCCCGCTCAGAGAGTCCCTGGAGTACAGAAAATATAACTAACGCACCTTGTCAAGTGCGCCAGCATTTGAGCAACCACTGCATTAGCCTGCGCGAATGGCAGGGATGGGCTGAGTTGCTGTACTCCAGGGACTCTCTGAGCGGGAGACAAACAGCCAACCAGACTCTCTCCAGTTAAAAGAACCGAAGGTCAAAAAACCACAGCAACAGCTATAAATATTTATTTGGACGCCTCTTTACACGGGCGCTTTGTCCTGCTATCTATAGCAATATTTTTTCACCTGCATTAGCGAGTCATTGCAGAGAGGCAAAACACATGTAGCGTATTGGCGGATCTCCTCAAGGGCCAGTGCCGCGTTGTACGGTGAAGTTATAACGTCATCTGTCTCCCCAGGGCTGACGGTGCATACGAAGCGTGCGAGTTGAGGGTGCATATCGGCCATCACTGAGCACAAAGAACTCTGCTCATGACCATTTCCAGAAACAATAGTTTCGGTGACAAATAACGGCACCTGGGGGAATCAACTGCCGCCCCAATCGCATTGGAAATGCCTACTTTCAAGACATTTCGTGCCAAGCCCTGATCCTGTCCCTCCACCAAGAGAGTGAAGAAATAGGAACGCCTGCGAAAATTCGGCATTGTCGCAGAAAACGTGAGATAGTCCTCCACTGTTGTGGAGCAAAAAGTAATATACACCGTAATCGCATAACAGCAGTGTTGCGTCCTTTCTCTGACTGGATAGGCCGTGCCAGTGGTTGGATGTGAATGGACAAAGCAGTCACTGAAGCCCACCTGTGGTGAGTCACAGTCCTCCAAGGCCTTTGATACTGTGTCAGCGATTGATGAACAATGCAGCTGCCCGTATACTTCGTGCCCGTGAGCCCTGGAAAAATGCATTACACACACACACACACACACACACACACACACACGCACACACACACACATACATGCATGCTTGAAGATCTTCGCGCGTCTGCGTGGGCTTAAGACCAATGGGGCGGTGAAGATGGAATTCACGCATGCAGTGAACCACCCTTGGTGTCGTGCTATTTTGATGATCGGTTACCAGTTGTTTCCTGATCCAGATACGTCAGTAATCAGAAGCGTATCATCGAAAAGGGAGCCCAGAGGACCACGAAGAAGGCGGTTTACAACGCCCTCCTCCATATCGATTAAGACAGCCTGCGCATTGGGTTCGAATGGCGGAAACGTTCTGAGATTTCAGTGTAATCTCAAACTGCTGTTATGCGCTGGCGGAGAAGTGAGAAGGTGTAGATCTGAAGTTCACCTTGCATCGTCCACTCACCCTCGCCTTAAGATATCGGACCCAAGCTCCACACGTCCTCAGCCGGCTGCAAAATGCAGTGAGATGGGGAGACAACGCTATAGCCGCACCCTCCAAAACAACGGAATTATTCAGCTTCAACAAATGTACTCAACGTTGACTAGGGTACCTATTGGTGCGAAGCGTAAAGATGGACGACATTCCTTCGTCAAAAATGTTTGCGTGCACCCCAACGGCTTTTGTTGTTTCCGTAGGTATATATGCACTGAGATTTGGTCCTGATAAGCCGTGCTCCTTCAGGAGGACCTCCCAAAATTGACTCCCAATCTGATTTCCACATTGCCCAATCTGAAATGTGATGATTTCCCGGGGCATCGCTTCCAGGTTGTCTGCAGTGCTGGCTACTTTGGTACCAAGCACTGTGAAGAGATACATTCACACCTCCAAAATGGTTGGGTATATTAGTAACAAACTGCATTTGACCAGCAGCTCCTTTGTTAAAGGGAGCAGAGCCCTGGTAAGGGGCTCTTAGCTTTGGGTCCTCCGAGGAGGTTTCAGCTTTTCCTGTTGGTTACAATTCTATGAGCCCCGCCGGCCACGTCCCGAATCATCAGCTGCTTCATAAAGGCACAGCTTTTATGATCCTGCCGTATGACGACAATTGAGGCATTCTGGTGTCACTCTTCGAAACTGCCGTTGTGGGCGATACCGCCGCAGGCGTACGCCATGTCCTCTAGACAACCAGCACGGGTGCAGGAAGAAATACCACACCTTTGTTTCGCCATCTCAAGCTTTACAACTTGAACCAAAGACATAATGATGAGGGCAGAGTACCAATAGCTGCTGCCCGATTGGCTGCCACAATGAGATCGGCCCCGCACGGCAATGCGGACCATGTTGGGTTCACTTGGCACGCACACCATGGTTACACTAAAAATAATAAGCTTTTTTGACGCATCAGGTAGTTCAAACTTCTGAATTTCAGGATTCTTCAACTGCACGAGAACTTGCAGGACGCGGACTGGTTCCGTGCCGCTGGCAGAAAATTGTGTTGTGCACGAACACTTCGAGACACAAAACCGAGCAAAGCTTGGAGAAAAATCAATTCGTTTTGTTTTGTAACCCCCACTAAATATGGGGGGGTTGAATAGGAAGTCTTGAGTGATCCGTTTCTTCCCGTGTGGCGTGTAGGCGAATCGGTGCAAGGACAACCGCTGTAAAACCAGAACGCCCTGGTGGAATGAATGAAGGCACCAACAGGGAGACAATAACCTTAGCATAAACCGTGTTTCCCTCAACTTCGAGCTCAGCAAAATCGCTGATGCGCTTAAAACCGCCCGAGTGGTTTGCGCGGAAGAGCTGCTTCGACAACTATGGTTGGCGAGCTTATGCTTGGCAGGGGAATACCCAAATTGAAATTTTCGTGGTTTGGGTGGTCTATTTGTTGTGATATATCTGAACTCTGCCGTAAGCCAATAATTCATTAGCATGCTCCCATCCGCGAATATAGACAGGGGCACGTTAGCTCCTTCCTGCGTCAGCGCGGTCTTCGCGGTTTTCTTTTGAGACTCGTTTGAGCCCTGGGGGGTTAGTGAATGTGCGAAAGTGGTTCCGACAAAAGACAGGCTAAACCGCATTCAAACAAATGGATTGTGATTCAGCACTGCACAGTCCAGAAAACCCGGTTTTCCTTACAGCCGAATTACGTTCAAGCCCTTTTTCATCAGCCACGGCTACCTATCTATGCCAAGCTGTACACGCTTCATGATACTTAGAGTAAACCCAGTCGCACACGCCAAAGCGCATAAAAGGAAAAGCTAGAAGGAGACGCTGAACGGGCTCTTACAACAAAGTCGCCTGACCGCTGCCGCGTGTATTGGGAGAGGTGTGACAATTCAGCGGCAACTTTGCCTTCGCTAAGAGCGAGACAGTTTAACCGCTGCTTCCTTATTATTGCTATCTCTCAGCACCCATACAGACGGTGCACGTCCTACTGGGATGATCGGAGGTGCGGTGAAAAGGAGCGTTTGTCAGGAAGCTTTTGACGAAAGCACAATCAACCTGGAAAATCCCTTTTCCTCTGAAATCATTGCGTTGTAACGCGTCACGCTATTATCGTCATTCGTCGAGCTGAGCGACAAGTGCTGCTCCTCGCTTTATCCATACAGATTCTGTGTCTCCCTTTAGAATAGGCAGAGGGACTGAAATTATAAAGTTGGATGAAGGACCTGATGAACGTAGAGCCACTCTGCAAATTAGGCCTGAAGCATGTGTTAAAAGTAACTCGCAAAGCTGAAGACACACGAAATTCAAAAATCTGCTCACCAGAATTGTTTCGCGCTCCGATTCGGCTTGATGTGCAGTAGAGGGGGCATTCGTATGCTGGTTCAGGGCGAGTTACATCATGAAGAGGGGTTGGTTGAAGTCGCAGGTGTGGCAGCGGAGAAAAAACTTCCCAGTAATCTTGCTCTACAAGAACCTGCGGTTTGCCATCCACCAAATAAATGTACACACCAGTTGCAACTGAAGCCGGGAGATAGCGAATATTCCACGGCAAATTGGTCAAGGCAATCATTTTCCACAGCACTCTCATGAAGCATTCTGCTTGGTTTTGGCCTCCCTTTGCTATTATAATTCGTGCATCCTATGGTGCATCGTCGTGTGCTGCCACGATTTAACAATGACCACATAGGGAAGACTTCCTTACAGCCAAACTAGATGGAAATAAAGTCAAGTAAAGCCATTATGTGAATGCCCTGACTAAGGGACAAGGCCGAAATACTACAGTTTAAATGTGTGGATGTAGCAACGGAGTTCCGCTTAAGGTTGGCTCCATTCTCTTAGGAAAATCCTCACCTTTTCTTCTGGAGACCAGCTGGCCCCATGCAGGAAAAGGCCTGATATGTCATGTGCAAAACCTGGCGCAGGTTCACTTCCACTTTGCTGGGTGTTCGAAGACAGCTGAGGCGTTCCATCGTCTTCGTCATCATCCAGAACGTGGAAGGTAAACCCTACCGAATCAATTTTCAGGCATTGACGTCTCGCGTACTGCTGTAGCATGGCTGTGCAAACGCTTCGAGGGCTAAAACAGCCAGGGAGCCAGAACGGTTGTGGAGGCTGGCCCCGTAGCCACAAAGCCATAAAATCAACACGTCGCCTGAGATTGGTCATCCAAGCAGCCAGTCCAAACGCCATGGGGTAGCTTGCTGCTACGACTGCCTGTGGCAAACGGTTTTGCCTGAGGCACTGGTACATCTCTTCAACTTCTGGTGTATATTCAATGACTCCTTCAGCTGCATCCTACGGACAAAGGAGGCACTCAGTATGCTGAAATATCCGTTGCTTACACGTCTCCACTTTGATGACGGCCATGACTGCATGGACGTGATCGCCACAGAGGACATCTACTATGTGGATGATATCCGTATTCGAAAGCAGAAGTCACCTGAACAACTTGGAAACTCTTCCGCGTTATGGTGATAAGCGCATTGTAACGTGCCAGCTCCTGGAGTAAAGCCGTATCCAATGCATTCTCATAAGGTTTCACCCGCGAAGAGATCACCTCCTCTATATTGAACAACTGGGGCAGTTGGGCCATCAGCGACACCGCTCGCTCCATATACTCGTTGCTGTTCCCTCCCACAGGGACAGTAGGCCCCGAGCTAGGCGTTGCAACCTGCTGCTGTTGAACGCGCATCAGAAGGCGCTGCATTGCTGAAGACTCAGCCGTTGCAACGGCGACTGCAGCATTGGCTTGTAGACCGAAGAGCTGCGGAGCAGAACATGAGTAGCCTTAATGCAGATATTAACTTTTCAGCTGGCGAATTATCACTAGCCCACGGATGGCCCTGTCCCAGAGTACATTCGGGTGAGAATCTTACTGTATGTAAACGCCCACAGCAACTAAGCATTGGTAATCTCTTCACTAATGGCAGACTCGCCTCTGGTTCCTCTTCGGCAGGAAGGGTCTTGATGTGCGCAATAGTTTCAGCGCATGTAAGGCTGGGAGAGGGGGACATGAATGGCCCGAAGAGCGACTGGCTAGCTTCTTTTTTCAAACTTTCCTCCGTAAGCCCTTCCCGACACAAGTGGTAGAGCAGCCTCCTGTGAAGCAGTTAAGACACGGCTTTGTACAGGAAGCTTGCCTTTGTGGTGCCTTGTTACTGAGCGGTTGTATTGCATTTGCTGTGAGCAGATGTTTACCGGTCCCATTCATCCGTCACTCTGCCCCCATAATTCACTTCTGATACAAGGTGCTGTAAAAGGCTCCAAGGTAGGGCTTGCAAGCCATCTGCCGGAACAGCAGCTTGCAGTTGCTGTAACGAAATCGCCAGGTCACTAAACGAAAAATCCACGGGGTTAACCCAACCAAGCGGACCAAAACGGCGACGACCGAGAAGAAGTGCGTGGAGTAAGCAAATTCGGTAAACCACTGGCCTCAAAGCGTTGGCTCTTGGATGCGTGTCCTACGGGTTGTTCAATTCGCATTAATTAGGACAAACATAGGCACACTGCAGCTGCGTAATTCAGGTGAACCGAACCCTGCGATGAACGGTGCGTGACTGGGTCTCAAGTCTGCATCCACCAGAAACAACGGAAGCTGTGTTTGGCCACCCCCTGGAACAGTTAATGCTAACTGCGAATACGTTGCTGCCTACCACCCAAGTGGGGAAAGCTTCGCTGTATATGCGGATTAAGTTCTGTCGCAACCCTTGAGGAGGTTCATAGGCCAGTTTCAAACTTCTCTGGAGGGAATTAAAACGGACAGAAATATCACACGTACGCGGGGGAGAACGAGAATCAAAATGTTAGTAGTTATGCATAAACAGTTGGAATCTTATGCGCTGAAGATACTGCAGCTGAAGATGAAGGCCCCCGTGATTGGGGGTAGGCAGACAAACACGCATACAAGCATGCATGCGTGGAAAGGCCGGAGAACGCGCGCACAAGAAGGATGGCGCTGGGGAAGTCATCGCACGGGACAGTAGTCAGGATCAGCCGAAAATCCTTATGTGGAGTTTGCATTGCCAAGTCAGACACTATGACACTCAGCTGCTTCAGGAAGCCTAGCCCAAGGTGGCAATTTTGGAGAAGCACCCACTGGCCGCTCTCCGCACCACTGCTGATCGCTGCAGACAAAGCATCCACATCGGTCTAACGGGATGTGCTGTATCCACAAGCACAGGCCAAGGCTGTTCAGGATGACTGAGCATGCTGGGCAGGTCGTCCAGGGCGGCAGCACTATGGCTAGACAGTAGGGAAGCCACTACAAGCGTTTCACTAATCTACCTGCTCCTAATAGCTGTTGCAATCCTGCATTCTCACCGGTGGCTGCTTTCGGCCCTTGCCCTTTACCCATAGCAACTGAAACGAATTTGTTACGCATGTGCGTTGCTTCGGCATGTTGCAAAAGGGCTGCTTGAGGATCTGCCCCTTGTCCAAGCACAATGAGAAGAGGACGTTTTGCTCCTGTCGATTGTACGGCTTCTCCGAGACCCAGTGGGGCGACTTCCCCCAAAACTGTACCTAGCTCAGCTTCTGAAACCTGCTGTAGGCAACTTCGAAGGCATTCGGGCCTTATGCATTGAACTAAAAGAGTCTGCTGCAACAGTGACAACCTTTCGTTCCAACCATCAGGCCAGTCGCTAGCTAAAGGGTTCTCCTCATATAAAGCCGCTTCCCAATCATCGCGGCCTTCCAACACTGAGGAGACGAGAGAGCTGAATGGCTCTCCGAGGCGACGAAGACCCGCGAGCTTTTCACGAGTGCTTGTTGACAGCCATGAGGCTTCTTCGGCTCTGGGTGCTGCTGAAGGGGACTCTTTGCTTTTGTGTGCGCTCCCATCCTTGATACAGGGAAGAACCAATGGTGCTTGTAACTGCTGCAGTTCCTCGTGTGTGGCTGCCCCTCGCAGTTGGAGGGATTGTAACGCAAGGAGTACTGGCAGTAGAGGCTTGTGATTCTCGAAGAGACAAGGGTTAATGCTGCGGTATACTCTCCGCAACGTCGCAGCGATTAACTCAGATGTGTAGAGGGAAGCATCTTGCTGCGTTGCTCCCGCATCCGGTCTCCCGAGGACTTCCTGAACAAGGGAAGTAAGCGCACAATCAAGGGTTGCTCATACTCTTAGAGGTTATTTGCTAGAAGGAATACTGCAGGCATTCACAGAAACGCCACTCAGTGCATACACATGCGAAAGTCAATAGTGTCAGCGCTGGCCTATTACGCACCAAAACAGCGTCGACGAAACACTGTTGGAAGATTTGTACGCTGAAGAGGTACATGGGGTGAGCGCTCTCGAGCTGCTGTAACACTTGGAAGAGGCTAGCTGCCCGCCGGGCAACAGGGGAGTACAGCGACAGGGTTGCATCGGCAGCAGCCTGGGCTTTCTGTTGCTCTTGAAGCCTTTCACTGCAGCTTTCGGAGACAGCCTTTGCATGGCGCAACGTACTTAGTAAATCTAAGTCATCAAGGACGCTCTCCTGCACGCATGATCCCCATCAATCACAAGGTAAAAAAAATGGGATTGTATGCTCGCTCATCTACGAGGCCCCGTCGTCAAAGTGCTGCAGTTACTACAGGCACTGATTTTGTGCATCCGGATTTAAGCGTAAATCGTCTGTTCTCAAGGCCGCCGAGGCATCGGCGGCCTGCCTCGAGCACAAAGCTGCTGTGTGCGCCGCTGCTGCATCAAAAATTGACCGCACTTTCGCGTTGCTTAGGGCTTCAAGCATGCGCTGCTCAGCAGATACAAGCTGCGCACGCGTTTCCGCACCCTCGTGAACAAGGCGCAAACAAGTTGCATGAATATCTGGGGCAGCAGCTTGAAGCGCAAGTCGCAGCAGCCTTTGCTCTAGACCTTTGCATCCAACAGAAAAATCAATGAGAGTAAGCCTAGAGCAGACTTCCGGAGGGAAGTGGGGCGCATTTAGTGGAGTCTTTAACAACAAGCGAAATTCGGGGTGCACCTCGACAAGCGCACTGCCGAGAGCAACACTGGAAGAGCTGCCCGCCTGCAACTCAGTGTGGGCAGCCTCAAAGGAACCAGAGACTCCAAAGGATGACAAAACATTCCGCGGCCGTTTCCACTCTAGTAAGTTGTTTAGCGAAGGGTCCAGCCGCTCAGAAAAACACTCTAAAATCACTGTAGCGCCGCACTGCGTGAGGAGCTGCAATGACCTAAAAAGATTAGGCTCCTCAGCTCGGAGGACCTGCATAGAGACAGAATATGCCAAATAGGAAGCCACGTGCTTTGGATCGCCTGGATCATCGGTTTAGCCGACTTGCTTGGCGACGCTGCATGGCTCACCAGTGAACTTACCTTCATCTCAGGGAAAGTGTAGGCTAACCAGTTAGCCGCTTGCTGGTGTGGATCGATTAGCATAGGACAGCACTGTGCATTCAGTGTAATGGCCGCATTTTCTATAGAGAGCTCGTCGTCGGGCAGCCCTTGCATAAGCCATTGCTGGACCTCCTGGGGACTGGTGAGAGCGTCTTGTAGGGAATAATTGGGCGTGCTTTGCAGGCCGAACTTCTTCAATGCCTCTTGCCATTCTTTGAGGCATCTGACTCTATATGAAGGCCGGAATATTCCGCCAAATTCTATGAAGGCAGCACTCAAGGTTGCATCCCCCGTGACTCGTGCTACCTTACCCTGTGCAAAAAGGGCTCAACAATCGCTTAAGCTCAGGCAAAACCGCTTTTTAATGTTTGGTAGAGTCATCACTGGCGAAGAAAACAGTGTGTATGATGACAAGCCTATCAAGTCTCCCCAGATACATCCTCTCGCGGCTAAAGACCGACATCTGACTTAGAAAAGGGATTCGGAGAACTGGTTATTACCTCACAACGTTCCCTACCTTTAAGAGTTCGTGGCTCTGGCTCCACCGGACGCGCTCACCACCTAGACTAGTAATAAGTTTCTCAGCCACAGACAAGCGTCTCTCGCAAGTCTGTGCCTCTTGCTGAAGTGATTCTGACCTCTGGAGAGCCTGCTGGTATTGCTGAGACAGGTGAGCGATGAGGGTTTCAAGCTGCAAAAGCTCCTCCTTCTTATCGCGGAGCACTGCCTCAGCTGCATGCAACTCACTTTGCGCCTGCTGCAGTGCTGCTCTACGCGGCCGCACTGCATTGTTCGCCCTATCATAAGCGATTAGAGCTTTAACCCACAGGCAGAGGCTTGTGGCTGCGACAGAAGCTTTGTTAACGATTTCTGGGTCGAAGTCCGCATCTTGGTCGTATGGGGCAATGGCGGCCATGACATTCGGGGGTATAGTATCTCTGTCAAAATTGAGCAGGCGCTGAAGGAAGCGGCTACTTCCGAGCAAGTGTTTCTTTCCTGTCTGCCAGTAGTCCGGCTGACGGGGCTGCGAAGGTGAAACCTGAGCCAAAATGGGCGGGACTCCAAAGAGCTTGCAGAGGGCCTCCATAACCTTCACAACGCCAGATGGGGGGGCCTTCATGCTCTTGAGCTCAGTAATATCTGCTTTGCTCAGCTTCTTAAGAGCCTCTTCGGCAGCCAACAATGCGGGCATGGCTTCAGCTAGGTGGTCTTGGCATTCGCGTTCGACTACGGCAGCCGCATCAGCTTGGGCCTTGCACTCTCTTTCTTCTGCTTCCACGAGGCTCTATCAGGCATAACGACACATTTCACGTCCACGTGCGACTATATCCACAATAGAACAGCCACGCATTATCTCAACTGTGGAGGGTTTGTTCATCCTGCTCAACAATGTACTAATCACTTACACTGCACTGTTCCCGCTGAAGAGCAACCATGTGGAGCACGGAACTGCTCAAAATGGAGAGCACTTCTCGCGTGTAGACTCCAGAAAAATGGTACCTACCATGGTAGTTGCAGCATGCTCCTGCTTGACCGTCAAGACCTGCATAAGCTGCTGTGTTTCCATTGATGACTTTGCTAGCTCCGGTTGGAGCTTTTCAAGTTGCTGCTGCATATCCATAACCTGCATGCTCACGTCGTGTAGTTTTTGCAGACCAAGCTCGTATTGTTGCTGTTTGTGATGGTGCTGGGAAGCCCTTGTCATGAATACATAACAAAACCCGTCTAGGAAACGAAGAAAAGAGGCCGGGGTGACGTGGAAAAACCGTCTTTGTTCTACACGATAACAGTCAGCTATATTTTTTGTTGACTCAAATATATCTGCGCAAGCCCCACAAAGATGCTTGAGGTTTTCATTGGAGTCAGCAGAAGGATATAACTGCGATTCTTTAGTGCCATCTGCCATTTTCTCTTGTATGCTTGGTAAGGCATTGTCATGCCGTTGAAGCGCCGCAGACACCGATTGCAGCTTCTGCTGTGCAACCGAGTACAGAGCCTGCGATGACCAACTCCAAAAGTAGTTAACCATGCAGCAGCTAGTGAGGGCTGGGAACCTCCTGAAGAGAACCTGAGTCTGGGGATCACTAGGGCTGCAATACACGCAAATGCGAAGTCGCTGGCGGCACTCGGATGCTAAGAGTTCCATGCTGGGTGTCCCAGCAAGCGCCCCGTCGGCACCGCTTTGCGTAGGAACTGCTCCGCTGCCGCTCGCTCCTGAGGCAGTAGCAGCTTTAACCCTCAAGGCACTTAAAGCTTCTGCCTGAAAGAGGGATTCACGAGAGAAAGTGACACATCAGAGGTTGTAGACATCGGAACTCTGCAATACCGTTGTAGATATAAGCCTGTGCGGAAACATGACATTGCTCAGAACAGTGCAAGAAGAGCCCGCAAGTCTCTTCAAACGTTTCCACTGCACTTGTCCTCTAAGTTGATCTGCTGGGCAGCCGAATCCCGAAGAAAATTCAGCGGCTTCTTACCTTCTCATCGGGGGTGAATACTTCGGGTATTTCCCTCAGTTGCAGCATGGTGCAGACGTTTGCTGCAACATCATCATGTGCCAGATGCTCAGCCGACACCAGCAGGAGCTGAGGCTTCTTTAGAATCCCGGTAGCCAAAATCGTGCTTTTGACGTCTTCTTGCCACTCACTGATTGCCACAGGATGTGACGCCCCGTGAGGTTCGACTACTGCTAAGCCTGCTAGGAATGCTGCAAGGCGAGCGCACGAGCGGCGCCCAGACCCGCCAACACCTAGAAGCAGCATATGGCCCTGTGGCTGGAGGAATGTGTTCATGCATCTCAGTGCATGCTCAATAGCTTGCGGAAAAAGAACGAGAGACAACGGCTTGTTCGGATGAAAAAGAGAATATTGCTCAAGAGCAACTGCGCAAATGCGGTGCGCTTCTACTTGCGTAACGCGCTCATATATTCGTGATCCCAACATACAGTCTTCTGCAGCTGCCTGTCCTGCTCCGGTTGTGGCTCCAGCTTCAGGCTCTCGAAATGCAAACAGTAGTGGACCTTGCTTGGGCGGATCCAAATCGATAAGAGTGAAACCAGTAGTTTCTTTCAAAATGTCACTGATGGATCCTGAGAGAATATCCAAGTCCGGTGCATTGGCGGTTCTATCCTCAAAAACTCTACGTACCTCGTGGAGCCAGCAACAGAGCAGTTGGTGCTGGGATTGAAGACTAGCAGGATTCAGAAAAGCAAGCCTTTGCGCAACCCGCCAGCAGTCCCTTGGACTCCACTGTTGCATCCAGCGAGAGGGCCTCAGAGGCAGCCGCTGCTGAACCTGTCTGTAGAGAAGGGCAGTTAGTGCGGACACCTTTTTCAACCCTTCTACTACCGCCATCGAGCAGCTATCGAAACGAATCAACAGTAATTGGTTCAAAATCGTCTGTAGGGACTCAGTGGAATATGGTACACCAGTGAGTGGGAAGAAGTACCTAGCCAAGCGCTCATTATGCTGCTGCTGTTGCTGTAAAATACGCCGTGTTGCTGTTAGTGTCAATCCTTCAACAAGGTGGAACTTCCACGCAGCCCCTTTATTCCATCCGCCGCATTCGAGCAGCTGCCGAACAAGCTCGCCTACCGGTTGAGCCCCTGATTCCTCTGTTGGGGGCAGGTGTACGTCGTCAAGCAAAAGAATACAACGTCGGAAGCCAATAGGTCGCAAGCTCGCATTGTGGGATTTCTCCAATCTGCCCTCTAACCATTGCTGTACAGCACTGGGGGTTGCTGCTCCAGTGAGAGAAAGACAGAGAAACGTAAACGCATCTGATTTGCTGCTTGCTGTTATCGGCAGGCTCTCAGATACCGATGCTAGCTCGCTTCGTGTCTGTTGCGCAGCGGATGCCTCCTGGTTCCTGAGCTGCTGAATCAATTTTTGCTGGCTCTCCATGGCCATCCCTTGCAGCATTTGGGCCATACACTTGCTCTTCCCGCCACCAGGCTCCCCAATTAAAAGAAAGGGAGCTCTACCGGGAGCAGCCATAAGGCCTAAGAAATAATTAAGGAGAGCTGTTTCCGGAGTTTCTATGAGAACTTGCTGCAGTGCGGCTGATGTCATGGTGGCACCCTTCCGCACATCAGGGAGCATGGGAAGAGATGCCCAAGGATGCCATTTCCTCTGCTGGACGTCCCAGAATACGTCAAAACAGCTTCCCGTTGGAGGGAGATGATGATTAAATCTCCGAGTTTGTTTCTGGTTCGATGTTTGGTCCACGTCCTGTTTGCCGCAGGCGTTCCAACCACTCATGAGACCCATTTGTTCCAAAATATCAAAACGACCACTATGCAGATTGCGGAAAGCCACGTCGAAGGCAGGCCGTTCAGAGACGGACAGAGTACCACCAGTGCCCCATAACAAGGCAAACACCAATGCGCCCTCCAGTGACTGCTCAAGCAGGTCGGCCACCGTGCCTTCGCCTCGCTGCAGTGGATATACCCACAGGAAATGTTACGGATGATGATGATGGCATGGAAGCATTAGAAAGCACAGCAACATTTTTATGGGCGCACAGCTAAGCAGGTTTGTAGACACAGCGGGATTTGAGGCACCCCAAGGTAAGAAGTGTGCATGAAAACTCAACGCGACGATAAATTGCATTGCGCTTCAATGCAATGCAATTAGAGTCCCTGCTAAGCAGAGAGACGTTGTGACAACAACGTCTCTCTGCTTAGCAGGGACTCTTCAGCTATTAACTTAATTTAAACTAAACCTTACCTGCGCTGGCTCCACAATTTGGGCAACAAGGGCGTCAAAGAGCCGTAGCACATTCAGGATAACCCTGAGAAGGAAAAGCCGCATGGGGTTTGGAGCCTGCAGCTCAAAGTTATCCCGGGAGGCCTGGAGCATCCTCCAATTTTCAACCTTCCAAGAGAACATGAAGATGATGAAGGTCTTAGCTCAAATTTTCCAGGGGGAGCCTTCGGCCTCTGGGATTTACCAACTAGGCGAAATGTTCAAGGAACCTCCGTTGCACTTGGAAAGAAAGGCAATGCAGATGGTGCAGCACTCGCGCATAGTCTGCGTAACGTCTTTTACAACTGCGTCGCCAAGAAGCCTTGCGGTAGGCGAGTAAAGGCTCCAAGAATGCAGGACACTCTTCCACTGATGCATATCCTGGTGAATGTACACCATCCCACAACGAGAAACTGTTGCAGGCGAGGCGCAGCGTAAATCAGTCACTTCGAAGAGGAGCGCCGTCTGCGGCGACAGCAGTACAACCTCTCCGCTACTCAGGCACAGTTTCTTGTTGTCGTCAAGCACTGTATTTAGATTTTCAACCCAGCCCTGAACGAAGCGAAAATATAGTGCACCCAGCATGGAGATGAACTCATCGTGATTCGCGACGGATTTTCTGCCTACCGCCACATATCGACAGTCCATCGCTTCCTCTTATAAGTCGACGTCGCTACAAACGATGGTTTGGTAGCACGACGGGATAAGCTAAAGCCGACCAACTCTGCTGATTCACGCTCTGCTAGGAGCAGTCCACCCTGTGTAAGGCGTACAACATCCACTGGACCATCTAGAATAATCCAGCGGCGAACGTTACTGTCCTGTTCTTGTGAGGCCTCCCGAACTGCTTGCTCTAAAGCGCCGCTTCTCCACTCGCGTGTGGTGGGATCAAGGGAGCCGTATAGCTCCTCGACTCCGAGGGCCTTGGGGAAAATCCGATGAGCTATGCATCTAGCTCTGGGGGTCTTGCATCCTCTGTCGCCTTCAATGCTGCTGCTGATTGGGCGGCTGCTGTGACTCTGCCTAGCACTACCTTCCGTGCAGTGTGCATTCACGGGAACGCTGCCGATGCCATTACCAAGGACTCGCTCACTTCCATCATCGTTTTTCTCCCCTGTCAGGGGTGAAGCAACCCCTGCTGTCAGAGCATCTGCTGCTTGCTGTAGTTCGAGGGCAAGTACAAGGCATTTCACTGCCGAAGTCTTTCCAGTTGCCGATGAACCGACGAGCATCAGCCCGTGACGGTGCTCCAGCGTATTTAGAACCTACACGGGTTTGGCAGAGGGGAGAACCACTGTTTTTAAGGTTGGCAACAAGCAGCGAGGCTTCGGCCACGTGAAAATGTTGTCCAACTGTCACAGCAAGGTTCCTCGTGCTCATCCCACGCTCTACGGGGAACTGAGTGAACCATGGCGGTTATTCATGACGCGATATTCCTTTGTGTAGCACTCGAATAATGTACCAGTAGAGGTGGTGCACAACCCATGTGGGCATATATCAACAATGTACAAATGTTAAACAGCTAAAGTCAGAAGTTGCCTTTCCAGGCACTTTTTGGCTGCCCACCTCACCTGCAAGCTCGTTGTAAGGAGCTCCTCTGATGGCTCGAGCAATAATTTCTCTGCTGCTTCCTTCAAAAATGGTCTTAGCGACTGCTCCGAATCGGCTGCCGCCAGATCACTTTCATCAAAAACGTCCTTCAGTATTTCCTCGAATATTAGCTTGTCTGTGGGGTGGAGCTTCGGGATATTTGTTAGTCGCAAGGCCTTGCAGACTGTCATTGCTTCAAGGCGCGTTGCCTCTTCTTCGCACTTAAAACTGTCGCTTTTTGATGGGCTAGGAACAGGCTCTGCTAAAGGGTTAAGCTGCTGAAGGAATATATGCTTGGCTGTATTTAAGACTGCCACAGCGGCTCGCATTCCAAAATCATAGTGGCCGCGTCGCGCAAGCTGCTCTGATGCAAGCTGGAGACATGTGACCATCTGCAGCAGGTAGTAATGGACACTACCGGACGTTAGGGCACTTGAACGCCTACAGGTATTCTGTGCAAATACCGTCACTACCAGCACTCTGTTGAGCTGGGCGCACAGTTCGGCAAGCATTCTCCTTCTTCTGCAGCGGATGCTAGCAACAGCTCACAGTGCCTAGGGGTTTTCATTACCAGTGCCGTACTATTTGCATACCTTCTTTGAAAGCTGGAAAGCATTTTGAAAACCACTGCAGTACAGCATCACTTCGGCAATCAATGCGGCATCAGGGACCATCATGGTGCAAGGCCGAAATAGCGCCTACAGCGTATCATGTTTGTAAGCTTAACTTCCCCATATAGCCAGTGGTATATGGGAGAAAGCTTCAATGAAGCACAATGACAAAACAAATATGGCTAACGTGGGTTTGCTAAACTCGAAAATAAGCTAGAGCTGCGAGATAACGCGAACTGGTGGGGTAAACAGCTGCCAATGCTTATATTTTGAGTTCATGTGAAAATGCAGACACTGGAAGCACCACGTACACTCTAGCTACTGTTTCAAATCTGCAGTGTTGCTTACCTTCAGTGTATCTGGCAGGATTGAACGTCCAGCATATCCAGGGTTCATGGTGATGTTGATTGCGCAAGTTGGATTAAGCTGAAGGTCCGTGTCTTCAAAGACAAAAGTTATGGCCTTTCTTCTGATTGCTTGTTGGATAGCGGATATTTGCAGTGCAACTATAGACAGGACGTCCAGCTGCAGCCTATTAAATTCATCAAAACAACACCAGCCGCCACTTGCTGCCAGGCCTTTCAACAACGCCGCCATCGCTGCGGCATCTAGGCCCTCGCTGCAGTTGAAAACAAGACAGGGCTTCCCTGCAGCCTTTGCGAGGTCTTTAGTGGTCTCCGTCTTCCCTGTTCCCGCCGGACCCTCGGGTGCTCCTCCATATTGGAAGTGCAATGCCGTCATTAGTGTACGGTAACAGCGGTCTGTAAGCGGTGTTACCACCAGACGGTCTGGGCTACGCAACAATTCAAAGCCATAGTATAGAGAACTCTCTACCATAGAAAGCTGCAGGCTTCCGCAGTTCCCACGATTTCCTCCGCTATTGGGTCCTCTTCCCCCCACAAGAAATCCTGCAGAACCACCTCCTCCACCCAAGCGATGTGCGGCGGGTGTCCAGTAGCTTCGAAGGTGACATATCCATTCAAACTGTGTTATGTGGCCCGTTTTCTTCTCCATCAACTCCTCCGTCACATCACGGCAGTGCACATCTAGTGTCAACAAGGTTGCTAGCGCCGAGCGGGCCATAGGACTTAACTGCCCTCTGACCGCCTGGACTACCTGCATGCATGCGTCTCTGGCAAGCCCAATATACGTGGCGCATCTTTTGAAAGGCAACTAAACCTTTGGTCATAACGTGTATCAAACAACAACACAAACGACCCACCTGCTGTAGCTGGTGTTGCAGGTCCTTGACTAGCTGCGGCAGCTGGTGCTGAAGGATTGCCGTCTCCACCTGGGCAGTCCAACAGCAGTGCGCTATCGCTAGAGCAGCTTGAGCGCATGCGCATGTTTCCGTTGTCCACGCCAGCCGGGTTGGAGCTGAAGGGAACTCCTCCCATGCTTTTTGCATTGCCTGCTGGAGAGCGGCGCACATTTCGCGCTCGATCTGCAACAGCGCAAGCGTAGGTGTTACACTTAATTAACTCATGCTGCAGGTTATTTTCCTTAATGAAGGCGCTTGCATGGTGTAAGGAAATCTATGCAGGTCTCAATTAATGCTAGCAATTAATGCTAGTATTAGGTGTAGGACTAGCTGTGCACCCTATGGTTCTGCAGTGGCCGGTAGCTGCGCTGGAGGTTCCAGCGCAGGTTGTTATACTTACGGACAAAAATACGTCTTCAATACAAGCCGATTGTCCGTCTTTTACAAGCCGAACTGGTGTCAGGAGAGGCAGAGCTTCTTCTCTGTGTGAAAATACAGTGTTCGCCTCCTTAGAGCTCTCATCAAAGTTCAAGGAGCGGATGCCCTCAAAACACTTTTGGACGTGTGGTACAAGCGCTTCGGCATTGCTGGCGCCTGATAAAAGCTGTACAAGCTCTTCGTTGGACAAAAAGAAAAACCGAGGGAAGGCGAGGCGCTTCTTTTCCAAGAAATCGTTTAGACCCCTCACAACTAACTGCATATCACTGCAAGCTGAACGAAGCTTTTGGGGTAGTTCCTCAAGCTCCGCCAGATCTAGGAGGCTTGCATTCTCGTCAAGCCGCCCAATGACTTCTTCCTTCCACAGGTCGCCCACAGCTTTGAGTAGTTGGGCTTCCTTAGCAAGTTGCTGCTGCATTTCCGGGTAGTCGAAAATTGGCACCAAGTACACCCACGACACCTGGCAAGCCTCCAAAAGGTTGCATAAGGTTTCAAGGTCGCCTAATTTTCGAAGCCATTCACGTGCCTGCACCTCTACTCCACCGACAAGCTGCGAAGCTTGCAAACTTTGCACACTGGCTTGATGCTCTTCTACCAACGAGCTGACTGCGTCAAAGCCTTTAAGCATTTTCCGGCCGGAGTCCTCACTTCCAAGTGGAACTAAGTCCATTCTCAGTGCTCGCCAGGCGCCCCTCATCTTCTGAAAGCACGCTTTTATGCGGAACTCCCTCAGAGCCGTAGAACCAATGGCTTCGACTTCTTGTGTGGCCTTCGACAACCCTTTTTGGAGGAGGGTATTGAGAGATATGGCGTCCTCCTCTCCACATGTGTCGACATTCAGTCTGGCAGCCAGCTCCTGCCAGTGCTTTGCCTGAAATGATGGATGCGTCACAGTTTTCATCAGGGGAAGCAACTTCTGGAAGGAGGCAATAGCTTGAAGCAGCTTGTCACATGCCTGCAGAGGCTCGACAGATCGGAAAGCGCCCGCCATCCTTCGCGTAGAGGAGGCCACCTGTCGCCACTGCTGCAGGTGTTCTTCCACTTCCTCACAGTCCACATGGGCTAAAGAAGTGGCATGCCATTCTTCTCGACTCCGTACAAAACTACTCGCGGCAGTCCAGAGCTACACAGAAGACATCGCAAAACATCCGGAAGTGGTGACAGGCCGAGCACCCAGGGAGACTGTTCAAAAACCAAACTGAATACGTCGTAGAATGGGTGCAATACAGATCCTACATGCACAATACAACTACAGCCTCTCCAATGATTTGAGAAGAAGGCATTGGATGCTAACCGTGTAACATACCTCATTTAGTCTGTCGAAGACAGAGCAGACGCCTTCAAGTTCTTCAAATTCCGACGCCTCAAGCCCAAAGAGTGCTTCCGCTTTGCGTAAGTTCTCGACTTCCAATCGAGCGGCGTGAACGCGCTGACTCAATTTCTCCAGAACTGGCAAGTAAGTCGAGGACTCCTCTATTTGCTTAAATGTGTTAGCTGCTTTGTCCACATCAATACGCAACGCGTCAGTCTCCAGTTGCAAGTGCTGAGCGCTCACTTGCCTCCTTGCTTCTAGCTGCATTAACAGGAGTGCATGGGAAGCAGACGACAGATGAAACCTTGTTTTTTTCGGCCCCACATGGTTCAGAACTTCAGGCGTGTCTTAGCGTTATTTCCAACAGTAAGGGGGCATGCAGTGCAGACAGTTAGCATCAATCGATTGCCAATTGTTCAGGCTGCTTTTGAGCTCCTCTTTATTATGTGAAGAAAGCAAACGGTGCTTCTCATCGGGGTATTTCGATGGGCATGGCAGACAGCCTCACCCTTTCCTTTGCTAGATCTAGGATACCATTTGTTTCACAAAGAACCATCTTGAGCCTCATCGGACAGCAATCGAGTTCAAAAGCCTGCTTTTGCACCTTAAGGGGAGCAAATACAAAGTGCCCTTCAAGGATTTCTATGAGATTAGAGAGTCTTTGACCTCTCAAAATCAAAGGGGCTGTCTCCTGGTGAACTACGGCAAGGTATTTCTTCAGTTCAATCAACTCTTGTTCGCTCGTCGGCACCATTGACGCCTTCTGTAATGCCTCAGCCCACGCCTCGTGGAGAGAGCCAATTTCGCTCTCTGCCCATGCCAAGGCCTGGTTGCACATTTGGTCTTTGAGGCGTTGTACTTTGAAGCGTAGCATTGCTCTGGCCTTCTCGCCGTCCACAAAAAAGATCCTTGCTGCAATACGAGGAAATAACGTTCTTAGCCTATCTTCTGCCTCCTTATATTGTTGCAGAACGGACTGTAGGTTTTGCAAATCTACTGCTCCATTTGCATCAACGGGCAGTGCTGCAGCAGCGCAGAGACCTGCAGCCACCTCCTCAAGCTGCTGACGAAGTCCTTCTGCCACTTCAAAGGAAGCCTGTACTGCAGAAACCATTGCTTTCTCAGCATCGGCTAAGAAGGGCTCCTCGAGGGAAAGGCGCAACAATGGCTCATCTGAAGAGGCACTGAACGGCACTATGTCAGCATCTGCGAGACACAGCAGAATGGCGCTCATGGGGGAACCATGCCCCCTTCTGAACGAACCTTGTTTTGGGTGCCTATAACTTCCTAGCCGTTGAAGGAACCCAAGAAAGAGAATTGTAAGGGTTAGAAGAAAATTCCAATGCCTCTTTCTGTCATTGTTATAATTGATTGACTCCAGGCTCTGGCTACCAAACTAATTCTAATGCACGATGGGTGCGGGTGTTCTTAATTCGCTTAATATGGAGCTAACCGAGCTTGCTGATTGTAGAGACTGCATCCACCATTGTCAAGAGCGCTTGACGGAGAATCGCTTCCACCCTGAAAAATACCCATAACTCCTCAAAATCGTTTGAACCAACCACACAGTACAATAGCTTGGAGCTTCACTACATAACAAAGTAGGGGGTGCTAGTTCTGTCAACTTGCTTTTCTGCGCCAGGGTGGAATATGGCTGAGTCGTTGTAGATGACTATGTGCAATTGCAGAAGGCAGGGAACGTTTCCTTTCAAAGAGAAGCCAGCCACAACAGCAGCGTCACGTTGTGCCGCCGCTCCCTTTTGGATGTCGGGGTCAAGATCTTCCTGCACGGCTCTCTGCATGTAGTGTTTCCACTCATTTGCTGAGTCAATGACGAATGACAACAGGTTGCTCCGTAGCATCGCGTTGAACCGAATAAGCTGGCGGCGTAGGAACACATCTGGAAGTGTTGTTGACAAGGTGTTTGACATGGAAGGAGATGTAGCTGCTGAACCGGCAACCCCTGGAACGTTAGCATTTGCATACGGCGTAGCTGATGCTGCTGTATGCAAAGGACCAAATGCGTTGATAAGGGCGTGGCATAGGGAGTCTCTTGCGAGCTCGCGAAGTGCATCAGCCACGTCGGACGACAACGCCTGCTGGTATATAAGGTACTGATCTGGATCCGGAATCTGTTAGCAAAGACATCAACGACCTGGTTATGTTGGCTCACAAATTACATGACGCTACGCCAAAACTGGACTCCAGCTGTGGCGTGGTAGCAAGACGGAGGGAAAGAGAGTTTGCAGGAGCCACTGCACGCAAAGTTTGAACGATATCCGATGGAAACTAAAGGCTTACTGTCCACTCGGCAAGCTTTAGACTTGCAGACTTCTTGAATATCCGGGCAAAACTGATGCGATGCAGCCTTCGGATTGGTAGGTCAAAGAAGCTCAACCCCCGCAAGTCGCAAAATGTCCCCTCCAACAGCAAACTCAGCTGCAGACAGAAACTGCACTGGCCTGGACATGCCGGCTTTCAGCAGCAGACCATGAGTGTGACGCCGGGAAAAGACCCTTTTAAGCATGCAAGTGTTACACGTGTTCCAAAATCGCAAGCTTTACGCAGGGTTTGATTCCTTACTCTGAATGTCTTGTTGTTGGCAAATAGGGGCTTTTTGCGTAGCGGCGCCACTGCAGCTTCAAATGCACCCCCAACACCAATGTATAGCCTACCAAAGGACGGCGGAGGCGTCGAGAGCATCGGCTGGATGACCTGCAGTAGAGGCTCATGTTCTTTGCCCTCTTCTCCCTCCTGACCTTCATTCACCTGCAGTTGCGGGTGTTGTTTCTGCACAGGAGGGTAGCTCACTAGACGCGACTCAAGCTTCCCAGCTACCCTCAAACGTTCAGCACAGTAGAGCACAGCGCTAAGCTTTGATGCCTCAAGGAAGCGACTTCTGAGGAGCTGCACTGCTGAACGGACAGAATCCATAAGCACGCAGCGATTCCGTAGTTTTCCAATTCCAGTAGCTGTTTTGATGATACAGTTAATAAATCCTTGAGGTAGTGGGGAAAAGGCAGAGGATGGTAGACCATTGACCGAGTTAAGGAAGTGCTGGCGAGTCATCGCTTGCCGTCGCCTGCTTGTGCACGTCTCTATTCGTTGTTGCTGGAGCTCAGGAGGCTCGAAACAAAAGCGAAGAGCCAGCCGCCTGACAGCCTTCAGCGTTCCATCTCGGAGCTTCACTTCGAATCTTCTTTGCTCGTGATCGTAACGAAGTATGACACAAGGGATGTGAGTCCAGCTGTTACCCACAAAATGCAAAACTTCCGCCTCAGCTTCTCCCTCGGTGTTCTCTTCCACAAAACTTTCTGCCTTCTCTTCTTTGTTATCGTTGGCATGTTGAGCTCCGTCCTTCTTCGTCCTATCCCTTATGGTATCCCCATCTGCCGGCACAACCTGTTGGTGTCCCTCCGGTACGTCTGAGGTGTGCGACGATGCACACTGTATATCAGTGTCTTGCCTTACTGATTCAGCTTCAGTGTGCGTGGTAGGTTTCTGAGTTGCACAAGCCATTACTGCGTCTTCCTGACGTAGCCGCCCCAGTCCTGCTGCATCGCCACTAGGAGCACAGTCGTAGGCGTGGAGTGCCTCTGGCACAGTGTAGGCAGCAGCATCGCAGGTCTGGTTGACGACGTCAGAAAAACTAGACTGCAAGCAACCGGCTTGCTTTGAAGACCCCTGGCTGTGCAACCTCATTTTATGACGGCGCTGCTGGCATTCGATGCGGCAGCGCTGCAATAAGGCTTCAGGTGATGCTTCGCCGTATTCTTCGGGGATGTCAAAAGCTTCCAGCGGGAGGTACTTCAGTCTCAACAAAGCATACTGCGAGGGATTTCCTTCACAGTGTTGATGATCGTAGCTGGGCTCGCCTTCAGGTTCAGAAGGCCCTATAGCAGTCAGAACCTTGCCACTGAGATCGCTGGTCTTTATGTTGCTACACACGCTTTCGGCAACTGCTGAGAATGCCTGGACTCCTGGTTGTTTCTGTCCATTGTTCCTATTGGTATTCTGCGCACTTCGCTTATTTCGGGGCACTTTGAATGAGTAGTTTTCAGCTCTCTTGAGCTTGCGTAATAGCACTAACACCTCTTCTAGCGGATTGAATGGCTGCGTATCAACCTCGTCACCGGAAGCTTGTGAGGTTCCGTCCAGCAAGTAGTCCATATTACTCCCTATATTCACATTGCCCCGCGTGGGGCTTCCCCGTAACCGTTCCTCAGAGGACAACTGTTTTGGCCTCTTCTTTGAAGGCAGGCCCGGCCGCCGAGGTTTAGTAGGCCAAGGACATTTAGACGGTGGTCTAGTTGGCAACTTCCTATCAGCATGTGCAATTTTTGGTTCTCTACCAACGAGTGCTGTAGCGGGTAGACCCGGGTCAAATGAAAGTCGACATCCTTCCATGGTCTTGACTGACTTCTGGTTGCGTGCATCTTGAGCTGTAGTATCGGTACGCCTCGACCTGAATCGGGTGCGCAACCCTGATGCCGGCTGCTGCCTTGTGCGAACTGAGCGCGATGCTGAGCACTGCTTTTCCTTTGCCTCTTGGCGGTGCATCTGTTCAAGCTCCTGCCGGCGAAGCTTATGGCGTGAGGGCCACTGAGCTTGGGCTATTGCAGCAGAGGCAGCAGCCGCAGCGGCAGCGGCAGCAGCGGCTCGTGCCTCTTCTTTTGCTACTGCCTCGTCGACACTTGGCTGCTCCTGTCGTTGGAGGGCTAGTGCCTTTTGTTGGGCCTTCACATATGCTTCTTGTTGCTGCTGGGGAGTTTGATTTGTGCTGAGTTCTCTGACTTCAGCCTCAACAGCATGGCGCGCTCTACTTTCCGCGACGCTTCTCTGCGTAGCTGCGGCAGAGAGCAGGATACGAGAGCGTTCTGTTGTGGCGCTGTGGCTCAGGCCACGGCGAGCCGGATATTGCCCGCTCGGTCCCCACGTCTTGCGCGAATGCCGGTGATCTTCGGCCAGCCATTCGTGGAAGGTAGTGAACGTGCGCCTTCGAGGTACAACGGCAATGCGTGAAGCCGAAGACGACCCTTGATGCTGCGAGCGCTGGGGGGTTCCCATAAAAAACGCAGCTGCACCACGTGAAGCAGGAATCATACGCTTGAGTTGAGGGGGGCACAACGATAGATCATGGGAGCCTATATGAACTGCAGCCCAAGGCGGCCTCAAGACAAAATCTGTGCAAACTGATACTGTTGCAACTGGCTCATCGCTGTTCACAGGCTCCGCGGGTTCTTGGCTGTCGACTGCAGCAGGTCCCAGCTTTGCAGACCCCTTTCGGGGCGCCTCAAGTCCAACCGATCCATCGTGTTTTGCAAGTAACCCGGGTCCTCCCTTAGGATTTGCTAGAGAAGCGATGGTTGGTCTGGATTTCGTACCGTCCAATCGAAAGTGTTCAGTGCAGCTCGACGGCTTCGGCGTTTCAACACTCGGCGCGCCGCGTTGCGAAGTAGGAAGAGACGTGATGCTGCTGGATCGATTCTGCCACTGGGAAATGCCTGTATGCTTCTGCTCTGGATCTGCTGGCGCCAGGGGAGTACTAGAGCGCACTCTTCTGCTGCCAGGTGCCGTTCCATTGTTGAGTCCGTCCCCCGTAAGAATTAGCTTCACACGCCCGTGGCCCCCAGTGGGAGACCTATGTCTTTGTGTGGGTGAATGCTTCCAGGGGCACTTCATTCTGCAAATGCTCCGAAGGAGGCTTGGTGGAAGGTCCTGCTCAGCGGGCAGCCCTACTGACCACTGCAGATCTCCTACTACTCTCTGTCTGCAGCACGCCCATGTCGATGTTTTTACCCCTTAAAGCAATAAGATTTTGAGCAGCAAGCCCATAAAGTCATGACACTAGCACTCGCTTCTACCGTTGATCTGCTACGTACTGTTGTGATGAACGGTCCCCGTTCTGAAGGCCACGGACAAGCCGGTGTATGCCTGGAATTATGCTACACAGACCATCCACCACACTTCAGTAAACTGAGATCTAAGCGATACGTATGCAGTAAATCATGGAGCATGATGAGCTACCTTTAGTTCGCCTCGCGATCCGCTCACATCGATCTGCGACAGCCTTTCCCGCCGTAACATCCTGCAGTCTTCACTGCCTCTTTCACAAGGGATGCCATTAGGACAGTCAGAACGTCATTTAAAACTCATTAATAATTCAAAAATTGCCTTTTTGTAGCAATGCTGCTATTGACGATGCAGGTTTTCCCGTAAGTGACCCTGCACCTTAGCCCCTAGCCAGCCGCCATCGAACGCGTAGTTTCTACCAACATGCGCAGACAACGAAGGCTATGGGCCTAGAATTCAATTCCATTCCTCATAAAATCTATCAAAAGTGAAACCCAGACAAAATCCCCTCATTAATCTGGAGTGAGGCCCCAAAGCAAGACAACGCAGCGGTCGGCCTCAGCGGGAGCGGCGGTCTCCCGGAAGCCTACTTCTGCCTCCTCTATCTACAGAAGGAATGTGTTTTATATCACCTACCCAATAACTCATTACTTATTCTGGGGGAAGATAGTGCAACGTTCCATGCCGACCCCTCATAGTGGGACGATTACGTCCACAGCGCCCAGGCGCTTTCCCACCGTGCTACTCGAGTAATGTGAGCCTTCGCTTACTTACTCCCCCACGACTTCCTGAGGTGAACTCTGCTTGCTTACAGCATTCCAGACTTTTCCCCGCCAACGCAGTGGAGTGTTGTAGCAACAAACCCGAAGTTCATTTTCTGTTAACAGCCTGTCTTCTTTCAGTACTGCTTAAACAAGGTTGAGTGACATGTCTTGCATGCCCCACCACGTAACGATCAGTGCAGCTGCTAAGAACTAACTGTGGGGGGCTGGGCCGCAAATAGGTGCTGGAAACATGGGGCTGTCACGCCAAGCCGCTGTAGCGGGGGCGATCCATGAGCAGAAGCTGCTCAGGCAACGTGAGGCCTACTTGGCTGCAGCAAAGGATGTAGTGGCGGAACGTCTACAGCTGCAGCACATTGCTCAGGTATCTAAGAGGAGAGAAGATGCAGCAGCGGAGGCCACACTGCGCAGGAGAGTTCTCCAGCTGCGGCAGCAGTTTTCACCACGACTGGAAGAAAGACGACGAAAGCTGAGAGCTTTGCTTGACAGCGAAAACGCCGAAGCTCAAGGTACTCTCGTCCAACTTCAAGACAATGCATCAACGAGGGAGAGGACCATCATGGAACGAGCAACAGCGCTTAAACAGAAGCACGATCAGGAGCGGGACAAAGAAGACGAGCGTTTGCTAGCACTGAGAATGAAGCATGAACGTGGGGATTTGCGTTTACAAGAACACAAGCAGCTTGTACAGGAGGTACCTTTACATTGTGCGCTCTGTAGCATTTGGGAGTTTCCATGAATGGGCAACAGGCATTCCCCCCTACTGTTGCCAAATTTTTGAACTCTTATTATTGATCCAAGCGCGGTTCATGCAAAACTCTTCCTTCGGTTTCGCGTTGTGTAGTCCTCTAGCTTAAGGGCTTGGCTATTCCGAGCTGCAAGGTATTCAGCATTACTGCCTTGCAGATGCTGGCTGCAAACGCTATGCAAATAGCTTCCAAACAGAGGCAGGAGGAGGAGAAAGCAAGGGAGGAGAAAGTGTTCCATGCTCTGTGGACGGAAGGTCTTAATGAAAAAAGGCTGCGTGAAAGAAGGGCTATCACTGCCAATAGGAAAAAGACCGAACAAACAAAAGCCGCTCTGCTCGAGCAGGTACTGTCAAACAGCAAGATAGGTAGCTAAACAGGCAATTTTGAGAAGAGCCTCTGCGAAAGGCAATGCTTTCTACGCGCCAAGATGCTTTCCCTTCAGATTGCCAAGAGAGAGGAGAAGCGTCAGGAAGAACTCGAAAGGCTTCGAATCGAAAACGACGAAGAAATCCGTCGTCTTCAGGATGAAGCTCAGGCAGCGGCGGAGCAACGCCAGCAACAACGAACAGCTGCAATCCAACGAAGAAGGGAAATGGATATGGTCCTTGCCGAGCAACTCGAAGAAAGGAATCGGCGGCAGCTGGAAGAAGCAGAGCTTGAGAGGTCGGACATTACATGGGTTCCGTGTCATCCCAGATCCTTCAAGCGGTCTTATTGTGGATTTGCAGTCATTCTGTGAGTTGCCCAGGATTAAAAGTCTAACGATGCACTGTTACCTTGCGCAGGATCCAACTAGATACACAAGCTAAAATGGGCCTGCAAGCGGAGGATCGTGCAAGACTCATTAGGGCAATCGAAGTTAACAATGCACACAATGTTAGAATTGTAAGCATGCATAGACCTTTGAAGATCTACACACTAGAAAGGGGAGCTCAAAAAGTCCGATTAAATCTGGTTGTTTGCGGAATAGAATGCATAGATAACGTGTTTCTGCTGTTGGAATCACTACATCGGAGGGATCTTATTTAACTTTGCTTCCCACCGCTAATTGAACCTGTATCTCTGGGACATGCTCTTCAAGATGTTGCGCCTGCAGCTCATGCAGGAAGAAAAGCGGCGACAAGCCCAAGAACTTCGCGAGTTTGATGCCTTTTGTATCAGGGAGCAGCTCGCAGATGAAGAACGCAAGGAACTCGAGGTTCTGTTCCCATGAGTTTCCTTCACTTCTTATCGTGGAAGAGCACCGGGGTTTCTTGCTAGTTGAATAACCATTGCTACAACGCACGGACGTCAGCTGTCTCTCTTGCAGCTGCCGCTAGATGCTGGTGCAATTGTACAGCCTTTGCTATCCCTTTGTTTGTATGTATTCAGCGCGCTGAAGCGGATGCTGCGCGGCGGCAGAGGGAACGTGCAGTAGCCGATGAATGCAGAGGTATGATTCCCACATCATACCGAAATTCCCATAAGTTATCACAAAGGCAGCTATGCGTCCAGCCACTTCGTGATGACCACGATCACTGATTGCAGTCAACTCACCAGGTGTTACAGTGACTTGCAGAAATCACTGTTGGTAGGAGAAGCGGGAGAACAGGGTACTCGCACCACGCTTTATTAAATTTATCTTCCGTTGAGTCCCAGATAAATGCAGATGAACACAAAAGGTTCCAATGTCCTACTCCTTGGGCCATGCCTCAGAACAAGTAAAGAAGCGAGAAGCCTGTAAAGCAGAACTTGAACATGAAAAGGGAGTCGAAAGGGCTCAAGTTGCAACGGCTCAACAGCAGTACCAAGCGTCTCTTCGACAAGAGTGAGCAGCATACCTACTTAGGGCATGACAGGGAGAATTCGGAGAAGATTAGCTGGATCTTATATCCGGTGCAACTGAGCCGAAGTTCACACAAGGTTGCTGTTTAGCTTCGAGCACTGTAATTTAGTATTGAACCCAGTTCATGCTAGAAAGATTGTGGGTGTTTCTTCAGACGGATATCACGCCTTAAAGCTATGCAAGCCTATCGCGACGCTCTCGACAGTCAAATTGTACAACGAAATCAACTAAGACATACACAAAGGGAATTGAATTTTTAAGGTCTGAGAGCGTTCTGGGGGATTTGATCTACAAGGTCAACAGCTTTTCTAAACCCAGAAATGCCAGTTCCAATATCAAGTGGAGGGTATTAGACTTACAATGTGCTCTACGCATTAATGCGTGTGCACAACAAAGTTTGATTGATCTACAACGATCATTTCGACAGCGCTAATGGTGTTCAAGATAAATGGAGAGAGGAACAAGCTACAAGGCCGTGCGTTGTGCCGATACATTCGTGTGTTGGTGGTTGAAATTCGTTGAGTTCATACTTTGGAACAGTGTAGAGCAATAATAGGTGTTCGCTTTCTGTCTGGGGCAAAAACGTTTAATCGGCTGTTAAACACATAAGCAGTATTGCAAGGTAACGAAGTTATCAACCTACGAACAACATTTAGGTGCAACGCTTCCAGCATTCGCCTGGTTAGTAGTAGCTGTATCAAAAGCCAAGCGGAGCAACAGTTCACTGCACGCACTCCTACTGTGTCTCGCTTACAGCCGTTCTATTATATACACATATAACTAGGAGCACGGAGGCCTCTGCAATAGCTCAACTGTCCGGTGGGAGTCACACCTTGCCTACACCCCTCAGTGACCCGGGACATATCCCCCATTTACCACTAACTGCATAATTGTGCCAACCTTAGATTCCTTCATCCTGATGGTTTCCCCACGGGAAGGCACTAGATTGAGGAGAGGGCTACAACAGTAGCTTGGAGAACAATATGTTCACTGGTGTTGGCTATTCCTGGACGGAGGTAGGCATGCGTTGATGGTGCTCTACGGCGTGGGGGTCTTCTTCAAATGTGAAACTCAACGCCGTAACAAAGCTCCAGATACGTAGAACGGCCCAGTGCAGAGGCCATTATAGTTCAGATGCATCGGGAGTTTTCAGTGCAGGGGATGGCTTTTGGGGGGGCCCCTTGCACACTATAACTACCTTCCAGTGAGAATGTGCCTTCTCAGAATGAGTTGAATATGACGAATGTAAATAGTTAATCGAAACGGGGTGCCAGTACCATTTGCTTCGTTTGCTTCATTTGCTTCGTGGGGTTTGGCGACTGCGGCTGCATCGAACTTTTCCCACCGTCCCGCAGTTTGGCAGCAATACCAAAGAAAACAATTCATTAGCATTAATTTAGCTTTTGAATACTCACTCTTCAAATTACTGTGCAGCGGAAGGCGAAGATTCCAATTTACAGGGTACGTTTCTGCGAATGTAAGGAAGTGCTCCCAGACTGCCTTTGGCCCCCAGTAGACTATTTCAGAGTCGTATACAGCCAAACAATAATTCATGCTACAATCAGTTGCTCTCTAGATCCATTATTTCAGTGTGGAAGGGGCAGCGGGACCCCACAGAGCGGCGTGAGCGGTCACCACCGCCTGGGGCTCGGCAGGTCACTCGCAGCGCTACCTCGTATGCAGCTGCTATTCTAAAGAACAGGGGGTTGCATGAGCCCGAGATCCAATGCGAAAAAGATTAATTATAGAAAGCAGCCTTTGGGAGCCACGGGATATGGTTGCAGCAGGGTCGAGAGCCGCCGCTGGCGATGGATGTGGCCCGGCTCCACGCCATGCACGTACTGGCTTGTTTCTTGGAAGAAAGCGGAATTTCGAAGCAGCATTGCCATGATATTCAGCCATAGCGTACTATTTATGCATTTTTAAGGGGGTGAGAAGAGGGGTCAATTCTCATTGTCCTCCAGAGAAGGCTTACAGGATGCCTGCGGAGCCACACCAACCCAAACTGTATCGGGTGTGGCACCGCCCGCATGGCGGTTCGCAAGGAAGACCGAGAACAAACGCCGGTCAGGAGCAGAATTCGCAAACAGAACAGCAGACGGGGTATACCGAGCCCTCCTGCAGCGATGCTCTCTGCAAAACAGACTCGCTCGGGAAGTGGCAGCCCACCAATGGGCCTACCCATGAGACAGAAGGCCCTTTTGAAAAGCCACGGGAGGGGGAGGGCAGCCAAAGAACCTGCAAGTTTCCAGAAAGTCACAGACCGAGCGTCCGATTCTCTCCAACCGTTTGTTTAGTATCCGTGCCCTCTGTGGCTCGAACACCAAGTTTATTTGGAAGCAACCTTAGCCACAACCAGAAGGCAAGGCGCTGTATTGAGCAAATCAAGTGCATACCAGAGGAGTGTATATGCATCGCGTCTTTTGGAAGGCCTGGGGTTTCGTTTGTGCAGTGTATGCGCTTACAGTTGCAATGCAGTGGAGGTATTTCAAAACGGAGTTTCAAGGAGGAATTGGATCTCTATGCCAGAACCAGATGGAGCCTTTGGAAAGGTACCAGCTGTCTTGCAGACTCTCAGGACCACCCACCCGAGGAAATGAACATCTCGAGCAAGCGCCCTGGAAGCTTGGAAGGCACCAACAGCAACGGCTCACTCGACCTGGCAACTAGCCAGACAGATGCGTCATCAGGTGCACCTTGACCGCTACGTTTTCATCAAATCTACACATTTGTTTTCTAGCAGTCTTTATGATTCAAGTTTTATATGCTTGCCCTGCCATCTCAGGAATTATGTTTTCTCTATCCGAGACAGAACTCGTGATGGAAGTGCCCTGGGCTGGGGTGGCTTGGGGGCAAGCAAGCTTGATAAACGAGGGCGATGCTGCTTTCTATTTCTCCCTGAGAAACAATAAGCAAGAGAAGGGGTGTCTGTACACCCAAGACGCAAATGATTTGTCGAATATGAGGGGGGAATGCACAGATGAAGGTGCAGCGACGATTCCCATTTGCCCCAATCCTGTGCCTCACCATTAACAGAATACAACGCCACATAAGAGCACGCATCTTTGGTATACTTATGGGAATACTCAGGTATGGAATAAAGGATCTATTTGATTGAGGAGTTCGCCCTCAGGTTTCTGTGCTTGGCCTCTTCACGGCGTTGTTTTACCTGGAGAAGCAGAGAGTTTACACTTCGGCTACTGCTTTAGCAGGCGCAGTGGACTGCGCTCCTGCGAATGGGAGCTTCGCATTACTCTGAGCAGTGGAGCTGAGAAATCAGCTAGACCGTCATCAGAGCAGGCAGCAGAATTGGCACCTACTGCCAAGATTTCCATCGTTGCCCTCGTTTCTGCATCCCCCCTCCCCCTAGAAGGACTATGGCAGCAAGGAAACAGAGCCAGCAGAAGGCAAGCACTTGTTGCAGCAGAGGAAGTACTGCTTTTGCTGCTGGAAGAAACATTTCTTTGTGCAGGAAAATCGAAAGAAGCTCCTTCCTGTGGGTTTGCGCAGCTGCATCCGGCGCAGCCCATTCATGGATTGTTCACGGGGTCCTCTTGCTAGTGGCTTTAAACGCACCGCTGTACTTTCTTACGCTTTTGCACAAATGAATATTCACGTTCGCTGCAGCCGCCAGTGTTCGCCTCCAGTGGTGATCCCCTTTTGCTGTTGAACATCTCTGTATACGTCCTCAAGTTGCTGTTGAACCCCGTAATTCCATGCAGGCATGGAGGACCCGCTTGCAAGGGCCACCTTATTCGGTATAGTAAATGCGCCTCTAGGCGTTACAGCACCGCCGGACGTCGTAGATGCATTTTTATTGCTACGCCATAAAATAAGCGGCGTAGAGGGTTGCCAAGGGCAGCAGCTGGAGCTGCTTTATGAAAGGTTTTGTGCCTGTCGCGATGGAAAGAAAGACATCGCATCTCAGGAGGCAGAGGAACAGGCTACTAGGGAGGCAGAATCACATGGCGAAGGAAAATCAGAAAACACTTTTGCCGCTGACTCCCTTTCAGATGCGGTGGCATCGGCCAAAGCAGACATGCGTGCGTTTAGTGTCGAAGCGCTGCAGAAGCAAATATATCAGCTGTCTTCAAAGGAACAGGAGAAGAGCCAGGAGTGTTCCGGGGCCCTCGGAAAACTTCTTATGGAGTGCTGTGACTCTCATCACTCATTTGAGAAATCCGAAAGCTGGCTGAATCGAGCTCCCTGTACGCTGTTGCAGGAAGAACAGGATGCTGTCAGCGCAGCAGAAGAGGCCCTCTTTGCTGCTCTGAGTCACTCGTTTGACATTTTCCCCTCGGTATTGTCTGAAGCGCTGGAGATGACAGGGGTTGTTGGCACAGACGGTGAGTCTGTGCCGCTTCACTTGCATGGATGTGCCCGCTTCCGCTCACTTGGGGAAACTTCCGATAGGGACTCCATTTCAACTGTGAAGAGGAGAGCAAATAACCTAGATTTTCTTGGGCACAACAGCTAATACCACAACTGTTGCAGCAGTTATTGCTACTGCTGCAGAGGAAAAGGGACGTCAGGGGCAGCGAAGCTCCAGACGTCAAGCTAACAAGGGCCGACACGACAGCAAAGCTGCTGATGATCCTAACGGGAGTTCCCCAACGGCAGCAGCGGCTGTTGCTGCCGCAGCAGCTGCCATTACTGCAAGTGGTATCGCATCTGAGGAAGAAGGTGTGCGAACGCGGCAGCGTGTTGCGGAGCAATTACTGCAGTGGCTAGTAAGCGAGGCCGTCGCAGCAGCAGAACCCCAGTTGATGTTGCAGGCCGCAGAGAAGACGACGGCGTGGGGAGGGATTCATGCTGAAGCGGCGCGACACCGATGGCGGAGGCAGCCGGCGTGTGAGGCCCTTGAACTGCAGCTTCAACGAACGCCTCTACCATCACGTTTAGATCATCGCGTGCTTCGAATGGCCGAATACTTATCTAAGAGACAAGCTCCAACCGTCAAATCCTGTAAAATCTCCACTCTAAAAGGCCTGTATGCTGCTGTTCTTCCCGATGTCCTAACACAAAAGAGCTAATGAGACAAACGTTTATCCAAGAGACAATGAGAAATGCAGTTGCGTAAAGAACTTTATGCTGTCTCCGAAGGTACGCGGGCAGTTGTGATCTTCGACGGGAAGACTACAGATGGACTGCTGTCGTTGCTACAGGGCCAACCGGGTGCTGAAAAGCATATGTGGATGCAGCAGCTACTGCAGAGTCGCCTAGGCTACCTGGGGGATCTGTTGCCACAGGCAAGCGAAGGTGTACTGTTGTGCCTTGAGATACCTCGGCACCAGCAGCAGAAGCTGCAGGCACAACACCCGATGCTTGCACAACAGCTGATGCAGAAACTAGTTGAAGAATATATGCTTCCAGCGGTACTTGGGGATGACCCGCAGCAGTACCAAGTTCCTGTCGCATGCCTTGAAACCGCAGAAGACATTGCCATTTTTGTGGAGGGGGTAGCAGCGAAAAAGGGAATAGGCTTGGCCAACGATCACATGGTGTCCGGCGAGAGAGCGAGTCAAGATGAGGATACAGCCGAAGATTCGGAAGACGTCCCTTGTCTTTTGGTGCTTCCATCGTGGCAACAATTTTTCCTTGCAGCCACCGATAAGCTAGAGGACATCCAACGTGAGTCGATGCTTGAGACTTCGCAGACAGCTTTAACGGGCACCCAAAAGGAAGATGGCGAAGATGCAGGAGCGCCGACCTCAGCAGAGAATGATAACTATCTCTCAGTGCGAAGACACCTCTCCAAGCTGTGTGAAGTGCTGGATATTGATTTTGTGGCGCTAGACTCCCCATGTTACCTTCGTAGAACAGCAGAGGATTCAATAAGCGCCATCAGCGAAGTTGTTCTAAAGGAACCGCAAATGGTTGCTGCTGCAGCAGCAGCAGCAACAGCAAGCAGCCCTTGGTTACTGCAAGGGCAAGCAACCAGGGCAGTGGGGCCTTATGTTGTGGCATATTTACAAGCAGCTTGTTTCCTGCTGGGAATCGACCCCATTGCTTTAAGTCAGCGTGCAGCAGAAGCTGTTGTAGACTGGAGAGAAGAACGACACAGGAGACAGTCGCTAGATGCTGCAGCGGCTTCAGCGAAGCGACAAATGCAACGGAGTTTGGACAGTCTGAGCACAAACAGCAGAAGCTGCTGTTGCTCTACTTCATCTATATCTCCAAATAGAGGCTATTCCGCACTAACGGCAGAAAGTGTTGATTGTGAAGGACCCGTCGGTGCTCCTATTTTAGATGCAACGGAGCAGCAAACCACTCACACAGTCGCTGCTGTGCTTTGCGCTTACTGGGACAGAATCGTTCCCACTGGGCAGGTAATTACTGCAGTTGAAGAGGCCACTGCAGAGGAGCCGTTGTTCAAGTGGGCTTCCTTGCAGCTACAGAAGTTGCGAATGCTTGTGTCAGGAACAATCGTGTCCAGCGTACTCCTAGCAGGAGACTTGATTAGTCTTATTTGCGGTTTGGCCCTAAACGGAGAAATGGCGCTGGAAATAGATGTCCAAGAAACTCCACGTCGTGAGGACACCTTGCTGGATCCACAGCAGGAAGCAGATGCAGCAGCGGCAGCAGCGGCAGCAGCGGCAGGAGCGGCAGGAGCGGGAGATGCTGCATCTACTGAACCATGCATACTGAGGGGGTGGCTCAGACTTTGCAGAACGCCTGCTGTACAAAGCACCAAAACCAACACAAGCGGCGTGACTGGCAAATGCTGCAGCATACATCCTCGGGTTTACAACCTGCGGCAGTTGCGCAAATTCGTGCAGACGCAGCTGCGTGTCATCTTGGAAATAGGTAGGTATATTCGGGAGCGAATATCCATAGTGACTGTTTGCAAATGCAATATTTTCATTTTAAACGCAATACATTGCTGCGCAATGCGTTGCTTTTGAAACTCTGCTGCAGCAAGGGAGAGAGAAGTTGTTGTCCAGCTCCCCACTGAGGTACTTATCCAAGCAGACCCTCAGGTCGCTGCTCTTGCCGCAGGAGTAACAGGTACTCCAGCTGAGGCTGCCCCACGTGGGCGCAGAACCAGTGACGCCGTCGGGGGCACTCAACGAAACGGTTCGAAGAAGCCTCGGGGCTCTACTAAGGTTGAGCCCGCCGAAGGGCACATAGAGGATTCAGCAGGGGATGCGGCGGGACCGCCAGCAGCTGAAGAAGAAAAACGACCTCCTGTGCTAGCGGTGTGCCACCTGCCTCCCGCGGAACTTCTTTGGAAAGTCGTCTTCGCGGTTAGCAATGATTTACCTGCTTCTTCTGAAGAGGAGATGATTAGTAACACGACAACAAGGCGGCGCTCAGCAGAGGGAATAGAACCTTCAAGAGTTTGCGGAGCATACGCCACTATGACGCAGCAGGCAATTGAAAACGCCGTAGCTTCGTTTGAAGGGCCTACTCATGTTTTATGGGTGGGAGGAAAACTAAGCAGGGAAACAGAGGGGACGGATAACTTGCTGAACGCCGCTGGAATCCCGGATGCCACAGTAGCCATGGTGGAAAGTCTTGTGAAGGCCAAAAAGTACACCCACAAACACTCTATAACACTTGAATCGACAGGGGCGAAGTTTAAAGAAACACATTCAACACTAAACAGACGCTTTACCCACAATTCTCTGCAAGAACCCTCCAATGTTTCAGTGTGGAAATATAGGCATATACACGTATAGCGTGCATTGCTAGCGTGCAAAGTACATACTTATGCACTTCAATGCGTCCCATGTGCAGTATGCTGGAGACCAGCTTTTCGAACCCAGATGATGACTTTGGGTATCGGGCGCCAAGCGCAGATTCTGTAAGAGATAATGAACTTGAATTTAAAAACGCCCTACACCCACTTCACCGTCTAAATATGCTTTTGTGCTTTCCCCGTTTGTTTCCGTCCCAAGGTGCTCCTTGAGTCGTCGGCATCTCTCGATGCATCTTCAAGCCAAATTAGCACGATGAGCAACAGCGAGGGGAGGAGGGCAAGTCTCCGCAACGGTCAGGAAAAGTTGGGGACAGAGCATCTTCTGCTTTTCGGCTCTATTGCGAAGAACACCTGGGCCTTCGCTAATAAGGGGATTGCAACAGTTGAAGCATTTCTGGATGTGGAACCTTTGCTTCAAATGCTTCAAGGTAGAAGAGTAAAGGATATACTCTTGGCCGATGACATGTTCCTGGGGCAAGGAAAAGCAAATGGTTGCACGCCTGCCAAAACAAAAGTACAGACCGTCTATAACTTTCATTTGAATCCGCCCGGCTCAAACTGAGGGTTCCTCGGTAATATTTCAGCACTTTTGCGCGAATGGAAATCCTCTTCAGCCAGTATCAAACCCCCAAGAGTACAACAAACCTTCTTAAAATCACATAATACGGCTAACAGTGAATGAGCCGTAGTTTGCAGCGTAGTTTGCTACAGCAAAGGGAAGAAAGCCAAGTCCCAAGACCCAGTTCCGTAAGAGAGGGGCGAAGTCTCACAGCTGCTTACGAGCATATTGTATGTACACATCTCCTCAACATGATTTGTGCTAGGTAATTTAGAATGCATGTAATGGGTAAACGATATTAGAAAAGGCCACCTTCAACAAGGCGAGCCTAGTCCACTATCCCGGGAAGCTGGTTCCTGATAAATTGTGCCCCCTACTATATTCGATCATGATCCGTCAAATACGTGTTACTTCGAGTAAATGTGCCAATGTACACAACTGAATCTTGAGAAAATGAAGTTATTTTGCTACAAATGCTACCGTATGTGTAACAATTGTGCAAAACTATGGCGTTGTTGTGCTTGGGTAAGTCCCCGCAACACATTCAGCGGCAGATTAGCCATCAAGCTCCAGCTGTATGGCTCGATTTCTACAACTGCCTAGCATTATCTTCGTCACCAGCGGGCTACTTAGCGCACATGCAAAAGTAATGTTGATGAACTCCGCCCACCAAATCTCAAGGAAGCTTGCTCCCCGCGCAGCATCACGTCACCTGCAACTTGCACTTCGTGGTGTGGAACGTGGATGAGAAAAAACTATACCACACTTCCCTTTCCTCAGGCAACGCGCAAAGGTTTGTGATTACATCCTTGTTTCAGATTATGCATGCCCATCCAAAGTGGTTAGAGGGTTCTGCTTTGTTCATCCAGAGAAGCCGAGGGTGGTGGCAAGGACTTCGCCGTAATGTATGCAAACGTGGTGGAATTATTTCTGCGTATTCAGCTTGCAGACGTGCTCGTAAGGAAGGCCCCTCACCAGAACCCCTGAACCAAATGCATGCAATGTTTGAAGTGGATAACTAAGCAGCATGAGTCATTCCCGATAGACCCAAACTAATGTGCACGCCGCTGGGTTTCGTTGATTCAAAAAATATTTGACGCAAGGAAAAAGAATATCACATTGACTGACCACGGCAGCTTCTATGCTTGCTCTGCTTGAAAAGTGGCCCCTTGTCCACAGTCACCCGCACGGAGTATGAGTCCATATCCAAGCCCTCCAGACTTCCTTCATGACCACGCCATTCACCAAGAACAACAGCAAGGCGGCCTCCTATAGGCTGGGTGCAAAAAAGCAGACAACTGCATTGCTTGACGAACATTCCGCCTGTTTCTTCAAACTTCATCAGCTCTACATCTACTCTCTGCACTGCTCTGTCCCGTCTAACCTGCGAGCCTTCCCTTTCCAAGAAAATTCTTACAGGTATTACAGTTTCGAGGTATTCTTGGTCAAGCTTTAAAATGGCACCTCCTTCTAGCATCTCTAGAACTGCAGCGTACCTACAGGAATGCAAGCATATGGGGGGTGTGGGGTTGGTGGCACGATTGTTACTGCATTCTGGCTGATGGTCTTGGCAGTGCAGAAATGGTAAAGTAGTACCGGTACTTACTTGCAGGAGTGCTGAAAGTGAAACAGGCACACTCACTCCACACTCATGACGAGCATATCGAAACGCTACTCGTTGCATACCTGCCATCTACACTCTTCACCACCCCTTTCTGCTTGTAGTACTTGCCATCCCCCAAAGTCTTGTGCATCACCTTGACTATTAGGCCCGGTTGCAGCCACCTGATGCAACAGTAGCAGCCGCAGGTGTACATAAGAGGTATTCCAACCCCTAATTGTACATGTATAGGGCTGCATGGGAACTGCAAGCCGTATACTACTTCGTTTTGTGTAGAAGTTGGTGTCCCACCAGTCGGCATCTGCATATTTGTGCGGTGGGGGTCGCTGCTGGGAGCTGGTGTGGTGCTCTTCAGTCTCATCTTGTCCTTTTCTTTCTCCGCTATCTGCTACTGGAGCGACACTATCCTCAGAAAATGGTTTCCTTTCGAACGCAGCCGTCTTCTGCTTGCGCTGCTCCGCTTCCAGTACTAAGGCCTCCATGGCCGAAAGCTGAAACAAAAAAACATCCACATCAAATGAACGTGGGGAAGTGGTGAAGCTTTCTGGCAGCTTCCCGCGCATCCATGCAATATCAAACGGACGAATAAAGGGAATTTCAGGCACCTTGCGCTTTTCTGTCCGGCCGTCACTCTTGGAGCGACGTTCTTGCTTCAGCTGGTCGTGTAGCTGCTGCAAGGCGTTGACTTTCCGTTCTTTTGTCTCTGGCTTTGGTTTGTTGAATGTGAACGAGATGGTTTGCCCTTCTTGCCGTTGCAGTGGTGTATATTCCTAGGCACACAAAACTGCACGCGGCCGTGATAAGTATCATCTATGAACGGCATAAAAACAATAAGGGAAGTATTCGCTGCTGCAACCACACCGTCTCGGTTGTCGACGCGCTGGTGTGGAACACAGCGAAATCCTTTTTGCTTACTGGCTTTATAAAATCTCCTCGCTGGCGGGCCTCCTCAACCATTGCCTCGATCCGCTCCATGCGAGCGTCTTCAAGAGATTTTTCTATCTTCCTCCTCTTCTCTTCTTCCTTCTGCATTCCGTGTGCAACACACCGCCGCACCAGTGAACCTGTGCATCCTTCTCCCATGGGCCAGTGCACACATGTTGGCTCGTCCACACTGTCATCCACTCATGTTCACTTCCCTTGTGCACCCCAAACCGTCGCTAAGATATTTCCTTCCTTGCGTACCTTTCTGGCCAACTCATCATGGTCTATGTATTCCACATACCAGCCCTTCGGTGTAAGCTCAATTTTGCATTTTTGCGTCGCACCCAAGTACTGAGTATACGAAAGAAACGACACCGCACACAAGGGAAGCGATGAGACACGGGCCAAATGAGTCGAGACCGCCATTAGGGCTGCGCTTCGAAGGAGACTAGGCGCTCATTATGTGTCAACCTGCGCTTATTCACAGCGAACAGAGCTAGGAGACTAGTAAAGACGAAAAACCATTACCTGCACAAATTCAGATAGCGTGACCCAGATGGTGGAGTTCATGTGGATGTGGTGGCGGTCACAAACCACGTTGTTATAGACGGAATTGGCCAGTACCCTAGTGCGACAGTACCTACGCAGAATGCACACGAACTATACCTCCCAATATTGCTTTCCCATTGTACGTCAATATAACCTCCTGCATATCGTGAGGCCCTGTGATCCAGTAAGCAGCTGTACGACAAGGCGTGAAGGGTGATAAGCTGAGCGCAGCAGCCATGTGGTGCCTATGTAGCGAAAGAGAGCAGCACCTTGTGCGCATCAATTTCATGAACTCCTCCTCGAATTCCTTAGAGAATTCGTCCATGAATTTCCCAGGACGTTGGATAAAAAGTTGCATTGCACGCTGGTGGCCTTCCGACATCCGGTGGCACTGAACGCAATCAGAACAAGATGAGACCACGAACTAATCATCGTTACTGCACGTACGGAAGCAAGCGACTACAACTGTGACAAGGGAAACTGCATACCACCCGCAGAGATGCAACGCAGGGTTCAGGGCCCTGGGAAGGTTCCAACTGCCAGAGGATGCGGTATTCTAATGGTAGTTGCCGTTATCAAAGCCTCACCTTAAAGCCATTTTCATCTCGGCATTGCTTTTGACACATCTGGCAATACCATCTTAGTTTCTGCAGGCCGGAGGCCTTTATTTTGTTGCTCATCCATTTTGGCGTCCCGAACTCTGCTTTCGGCATCTTGCCAGCAAATGGGATTGAATAACGCCAAAATTACGATGGAAAAGGTTAACTACGGCCAGAATCTCAGTGGCCTCGTGTTAGTCAGGCAGTCCTGCGTGGTACACGGAAGCTAACGAAAAATTGGAAGTGGCGCCTTGTTGGGCTGATCCGGTTTGGGCGTCGAGGAGCCCGAAATTACCCTGGAAGAAACATCAGGCCCCCTCTGCTGTCGTTGGAGCTCGAAACGGGAAGAATTTGGTCTGAAATGCCTTGATATCTCATCGGGCGCTGCACGGTGTTCTGCTCGGCACCCATGCCCGACTCAAGGCCAGATATCAACAAAACAAGTGCCATACGCCCATTTAATCTCTCGATCTTATGTGACGGCGGCTGCAAAACATTGGCGAAGATAAGATAACTGACGAAAGACAGGGGAAGTCGCAGTTATGTAGCGTGCCAAGGCGGTGGTATACGCACCAAAGGCCCCATCTGCCACGACCCGACCAGATTTTATTTATTGATCTATTCCATATCTGCGCAAAACAGGCGCATTTATCGAGGACACCTCGAACAGAATTGCTCGTTGCTGCATGCCGTTCGTTGCGAGGGCCCCCTGTGCGGGCACTACAATAGGCACTCCGCTGAACCTCTAGAGACCTACTCCCTAGAAGAGTACTATATAAGGGATATTTGTACTTAATAAAGGTGATTTAGAGCAGAATTGTGGCTGTTTGGAATACGAGAGCCCACAATCATGAGGGTTTGGGGCTGGCTCGGCCGCTGAGGCACTGACCCCTAAGGGGGGCTGGCAACAGTCAGTTTCTTCTTTTCTCTCCCTATATATACTAGGTGACTGGATATGAGTTTAAATATGTTATTCTCTAGAGAGAACTGGCTGAGTCTGGCGATTGATATTCAGTGTACACATGAGAAGGGGTGTGTACAGCGTATCACGTAGCAGGCATGTGCGAGAGCTGTTCACTACACACCCTCAGGCGGGGCCCCAGTGGAACAAAGCATGGGATGAACCGTGTTAAAGAGCGAACCCCAAATAATATTAGTTTTCACTATTAGTGCTTCCCAGGCTTCGCAGCTACGCTGAGGTTAAGCTCATCCTACTGCGTAACTAGGAGTCGCATGAACTGAAGGGGAAGTTGGCGTTTGATATGTAGCATATTTGCTCCCCAGGTGAACTTTAAAGGAAAACTCAATTTCAACTCAGTGGCTAGAATTATTCTTGATACTCAATTGATTATTCCACCCGCTTTGCGCAGGTAAGCCTTTCCGTCTATGGCTGGGCATTCTTGGCACGCGTCTGAATCTCGAACAGGGGAATGCATCTAGCTTTGCAACAGGACCCCCTTCTGAATGTGTAGGATGTGGCTAAGTGTGATTTCGTGGGAAAACGATGCACAAAGGTTGCTTGCCGGGGATCCATGTATATCAAAGAGAAACTCCCATATTAATAGATGGCTGGCTGTCTATTGAATCACTGGGCACGTGCATCCTACTGACGGCGTACTAATCGGAACTCGAACAGTTTCTCAACTTCCCGCGGCGTAATTAGTACCACGAACTATTAGGCCCGGCTTCAGCGTTTGCCCGAACGGCAGCGGAGAAGCCCGATCCTTCCGTTCATGCCTTTGCATTGCATTCTCTATGAATCGCAGGGAGTCTTATCATTCACGCGGTAGCCTTTTCTCCGTTATATCGTTGGTGACCAGAATCTCAAATTCCTTTACTCAACAACACAAGTATGCTCCCTGGCCGTGTCATTCTAGCACTTATGATGATTGTCTGGAAACCAAAAAACTATTGTTGATGTTTTATTTAAACAGTAATAGTCGAGTTGTGCCGGAACTCACAGACACTACCCGCAAGAACCCCTGACACAGTGTTATTCAACGGATGCGTGTGAATGGTATTGATCTAAATTGTTCGGCTGCCGGCATGGGTAACTATGGGGAGGATCAGGACTGCGCCAGCTCCTCCCCTCCGGCGCCTTAACGCAAACAAAACTATTTCAATGTCCTTCTGATGCAAGTGGCTTCCCACCGAAAGCAAACTTCTGCGCCTCAACATCGTGCACATATTGCACGACAGCGGCCTTTCAGCAGATGAGGCAAGTTCTACGTTTGCAAGCCAACACGAAACTATGTAAGGGCATTCGAGCAAAACCATCAATCCAAAACAACCAAACACTTCGTGAACTTTTGACGACCTAAGTTGCTGGGAAAATCGGGTGATCCTCTTCCAAAGCATCACCTAGCAGCAATAACTGCTGTCTAGCTACTTCAGTATCTCGCTCAGTATTTCCACACGGGTCCACGTCCGGGTTAACCTCTTCCAAAGCATCATCTAGCAGCAATAACTGCTATCTAGCTACTTCAGTATCATCCACTAAGGGCCTGTGTGCGTGCGGTTTGCCCGGTATGCACGTGCAGGTAATGGCATCAGCGTGAATATTTCTTCTCATTTTGGTCTGTTCTGTTTTGGTTTCCCATTCTACTTTCGAAGAGAGATGAGACACCCTTGAGAAGCATATTCGCAGCCCTTACGTTCCTCACCGTCTTCTTCCAACGCTCGAAGTTTGGAGGATTCGCTGGATTAGTGTCAATTTGCAGCGTCAACAGCCCAGTGTTCTCGTTGACGCCCAACACACCTTCGTCTGCCATCGCATACAGCACTGGGAACTCCCTCGAGAACAGATCCAGTGCGAACACATGAACTTTCACACTCTCCAAGGCAGCAGACTTGACTGCGCTCCCCACATCTCCACTTGCCTGCTGATGCACCCTCTCGCAGAAAGTCTCGCCGAATATCCCCCACTCCATCCGAAGGAGCCTGAAAAATGCACAGGAGCACGCAGACAAAAACAAGCAAGCTATGAATATCTCCGATTACTTTCACATACTCGCATACGAGGCACTGTCATACACCTGCACGTGAATTGATATTTTGGGTATACTCAGCATGACGCACCAGCGGAAGTAGCAATAACCCTGGTACATCCAACAGTCATTGATCGTGCCACGGAGAGTCGTGAACGAGCTGCTTTTGGCGAATACAGACTGCAGCAACGCAAACGTCCCCCCACTTGACTCCTCCGAAGCCTCCCTTCCAGAATCGAGCCCCGAAATTGCGCCTGTGACGAATTGCCAGTTGCTGGCTCTGACATCCAAGGGCCTGTTGAAGCCTGGACGAGGATTGAGGAGGAGATTGACTTCTGTGGGGACTCTTGGGTCATCGCCTTGGGAGAAAACGGACCCACAGAGATGGTCGAACAAGCCGTAACCCGTCTCTCTATTGGGGCAAGAGTATCTGAACAATACCGTTGCCCACGGCAGAGGATGGCCAAAATGATCCATGTTCCACAATGACAATGTTCGGACTTCAACGTCAACCTCCATTCCCGGAAACGTCTTTCTCCACATCCAGTACCGTTGTAACAAGTTCCAACGCGAGACACCTTTGCGCCGGTTGGCATGCTCCCTGTCCCACGCCGGCCGTAGGCTATCATGTGCCCGTTGCATAGCCGAGAGCCACGAACATAGCTGGGGGCCAGTGATAAATGGGTCAAGGATTTCACCGCCTTCTGGGGTTGAGCCTGACCTGGGAGTCACCACCAGGTTGCCCGCCATACCCAACTTGCAGCCATCCGAACCCAATGACCACATCCCCGGAACCAAGGTGTCATGTCTGTTAACAGTGATGTCCTCAGGAGAGTAAACCCCGACATCTGCTGAGGCAATGTTTGTAAACATTGCCAGAAGGCCTACCAGAACTGCCCACAAAGGGGCGCACGCGAGCGAATTAAGAGAAAGCATCGCAGAAAAACTCAGGAATCGGCTTGGCAAGACAGAAGAAAAGTAATAATTCATTAAAAAGCTAAAAATTGCAAAAATTCAAATTCTTACATAGTTCTGTACAAAAAGTTCAAACGTTCAAATGGCGTAGCACGGGCAAGGGCTTGCCCGATGCGATCGGTTGGAAAGCAGCGCAGCACAGGTAGATCTTGGAGGGGCATGCGTTCCTTGAATGCTCTCAAACACCATGCATAAAGGTGGAAGAATTTAACGGTGTAGTTTGCTTTATTTTATTTATCCACACAACGATTCAATGTAGAAGCAAACCAAGGGTTGCCACGCTGCATATGTGTCTCGCTCCCGAAGGAGGGGCAAGGGTCCATCGGAGGGACGTTCGTTTCCATCTGGAAACTCTGCCCTCCTTCAGTTTTATGGAATTAGCTCGTGTTTTTAACCACAAAGTGTTCTAAGTGGAATTATAGTGGGTGGATGGCCAAGGGTTTTTGCAGGATTTGTCCACACTGGTCACGCAGTCTGGACCATTCGGCAAACAATTGCATCGAGTTACACTCCCCCGGACCGGCAATTACCTACTGCTAGAAGCAGCTTATAAATTGTTTTTTTGGGGATTCTTCATTTGCTTGCTGTATTTTCCTCCCTTCCTGGATTTCTCCGCTTGCGCTGTGTGTAGCGCATATGGGTAAGCTGGGATAACTTGCACCCACTGTGTGAAGCTACATTGTTTACGGCTTGTGTTGGAGGTATACGCATTACGCATAACAATATATATTGATCGACACATTGCACGCGTATTTACTGGTAGTTTCGGAGGACGCACGGAGCGGATACATGGGGGGCTAACTCAAGTCATGGCAAATATCAAATATGATTGGGCAAGAGCCTAAGCATTTTTCAGCGGAGACAACCCCTATGAGCGGTGCCTAACACTTGTTGATGAGTGGATTCGTAGTAGAACACGTTGAAACGACCTACTAGATTTGGAGTTGGCTCCACTAGCGAGCCCACTCAAGATTTGGAGTTGGGCTAGTAAGAAGGAAGAATACAATAGCAGTCGAGAGCCCCTGCTTTTTTCCGATATGCAAAAGAAAAGGCCTTCTCTGACAGTACCTCCTGCAGGGATTTACAGACACATTAACTAAAAGTTTACAAGATTGAGATTGCCTTGGCCAGAAATCAGCGGATTCCCAGTGAACAGATCCCATAGCGGTGTGACACTTACAAGCAAAATATTTTCTAATGCTGGAGAGTAGGTGCGTCTACCACTTGACGGTTTCGGTAATTGCTTTAACAAAGGGTCCCCACACCGCTATGGGGAGCCATTTTCGGCTGCAACGTAATCTCAATTATCGTGCTTGGACCGCAGATTGCTAATGCCTGCTAGGAATGCGAAACCATTTGAGAAGTTCAACCTTTGGTGGCGTGTGACTCACCATTCAGCGGTGGAACACGTCATCACCTGCAGTGAAGATAACGGAGCACCCTGAAACCCGGGCGGTTGCAGACACTTTCCCACCAGCGAATTCGCCGTCTGTGCAACAGGTCAAATGGCGGAGGATCTACGGTTGCCGCTGTCTTTTCTCTTGCATCATTGCGCCGAACGTTACGTGAGTTTGCTGGCGTTTCTCCGGTCGCCTTTCTTGTTCGCCTGGTGGCATTTCGTAGACGTTTGCTTCCCACACTCCACGGACTGTCTCATGCGTCTACATTCTCGAATTATGTGCCCTGCTTTGTTGAGACAGAAACAGGTGCACCGCTCGATTTGCTTTGACACAGCCACCATGGTCGTCCTTCCGCTCTAATAAGAAAGACGCCAATAGCACCTGTAGTGCTTCTGGAGTCTCGCGGAGACAATCATGGAGCACTAGAAGGGTTACAAACTGCTAACACATTCCTCCCGTGCACCCGGATGGAGGAAACCGTCACTTGCTGGCATAAGTAGACGCATTCCGTATGAACTGCCTTTGCCCTAAAATATTTTCAGTTGGATGGGATACAGAAACAGAGCTTGAATAAACTAGTTTAGAATCCCTACGGTTCGTCGCTTTTCCAGCAGGGCGCACTTCCTACTCAATCTCCATGGTGCAAAAAAAGTAAAAGGCACGGATTTGAGGGAATTTTCGGAAAAGCTCCAAAATTTTCTGCCTGTTTATGTAGGCAGTTTTTTGACGGACCTCCTTTCTACAGACTGATATGGAGTACGCCACCCTTCTGTGCTGATGAAGATTGGTTCTCGCACGTGCCGTCGTGGATCACGTGGGAGTACCACGTCTACTGTGAGTCCCCGACTTTATTCAGAGACCCTTGCCCGCTGCAGTGGAGTCCATTACTTACTGTGCGAGCTCTGTAAGTTGGGCAAGACCCCCATCTACCGTCACCAGGAGTATGTAGCGGCTCAAGCGGTTGGAGCCAAGAGAGAGGAGGCGACCTGTCACGAGTTTCAGGGCAACTTCCTACAGCCCACGCAGCAAGCCAGTCCCGCATACAAGCATAACCAGCAGTTGCTTGTAAAGTGCTGGGCCAGAGACCTTTTTTAATGCCGTAAACTTCAGATGGAGCCACCAGTCGCCTTGAGTAATCAACACTGCATACCCAACGGAATTCCTTTTGCTCTCTATGCTGGTTTTCAACTCGTGGCCAATACAGAAGCCAAAACCGCAGCGGGAAAGAAGAACAGATCAATCACGCCGCTGAATGTCTTCCAATGTTTTTATTGGGTCGATCACAGGTGTTGCTGAGCCAACAGCATTTGCTCCGTGCACTTCACAGAGATATTCTCGAAGGGTAGAGCATGACATCTTATCTTCTTCCCTCTGTCCTCTTCTTTTATACGGTGCTTGAAGTTTGATCACTTATAGTGAATTCTACCTGCCGAATGCCATTTGCAGTGCGATTTAGACAAGAGGCAATGGTTTGGAACAAGACACATGCAAGAGGCCCCGGCAATGCCGACACACCGTACGGTGAAAGCATACTCCAGGAGCTTTCAGACCCTTACATTCACTTACAATTACTCATAGGGTAGCAAACGTTTAAGTAGAAAAGTTCACATCGTTCAGCCGTTTCCGCCGTAGGCCCGCTCACGCCGGCACTTTGTTTGTGGTGCCCGAGACAGATGATATAGATGCGGAACCAGGAGGTGTTTACTATATAAAGTTTTTTTGTATGGTTTTAAACATGAGTTTATTGCCTTTTAACTCGATATAATGTCCTTGTACAACTGGGCTAGCGCTGGGGTCGTCTTCGGCCTCCGCTGAGGTGTGGGAAGCTCTGTCTTGCAAACCCTATATGTATATCCCGACGCCTTCAAACACCTTCTAGGATCGGCTCACTGTCGCAGAAATACATGCAGAAACAGCTGTAGCGCCAACGACGACAATCGCTGGGGCACCAGCACCGGTATTACCCCCAATAACAACCGCAGCAAAAGCAGCATGATTCTGTACTGGATAGTTATCAGCAACTCAGGAGCGCAGAAGCTGTGCCGTTGGTTTGCACCCTTTACTCATGAGGAAAAGGAGTGGGTGTTACTGCAGGTGAAGCAGCAGTTGCTGCTGCCGCAGGTCGCAGCCGAAGCAAAAACAGCAGTTGCAGCAGCCGCGGATCGCAGCAATCCAGCATCAGGAGCCTCTGGCAATACTTCCAGAGTTTTGACGATTCCCCCTCTGCGCTGCAGTAACAAGGCGAAACTTCCAGCCAGCAGCAGCAACAGTGGCAGTCGTGCGGTGTATCGCCAGCACGCATCTGTCTACTGTGTTGTTGGAATTAACGGAGAAGAGGTGCCCCTGGTTACAGGAGAAGTGATTGACTTGTGGCTGCGTGTGCTGTTTCAGCTTCTGGGCACAAATCCTGCAACAGAAGGAGGTGGCCTTGAGACGCAGCTGTCGCTACACCTCGAACGAGCTCTGCTGCTGCTCGACACCATGCTGCAGCAAGGCTATTTGGTGTGTACAGACAGCGAGCAGCTACTTCAGAGAGTGCGAGACCTACTCAAACAAGACTGACACGCTGCTGCAGCTGCGACTGCTGCTGCTTCCGCTGCGGCCGTGCGCTTCTTTGCTGGTGCTGCTGCGCTAAGGTGTGGTCGACTCACAGCCCGTTCTTCAAGACACGGGATCACTGGCAACTATCGCTACCGCAGCAAGCCGGATGTATTTTCAGGTGTGCAGACGCCGATCAATAGTGACAAGCAGCCAGGACAACATTTACAGTGTGTTTGTGGATGATTGATTATCCTAACATCAGTATAATGCTACTACAACCTCTATTGCTGCCACCACTATTGTGGCAAGCCGTCGGCCTCCTGTGCAGCATGACCTCTTGAGGCGCCTTCCCATTGAAGGGCCTGCCTCCCCGTAAAGCTAATTAATAAATACAGTTGTATATAGGTGTACGTCTCTATGCTTAGTGTATCGGCTTGCATGTGTGTATGTATAGATGTACAATATGCACATGTAGGTGTATATCGGTGTATATGCATGCAAGCAGATGTGTATGTTTATGTATGCACTGATATGCAAACAGGCGCAGCTGTTACACCAGCAATTGCTGCTGCCTGCTGCTGATGCTGAAGGGGCAACTGCGGATGCATCTCCTACGGCTGAAGCTGCTGCTAGCTCTGAAGCAGATGCAGCACCGGTAGCAGCACCCGCGGCAGGCTAGCGGGCAAGCTGGCGTGGGTGCCTTGTGCATCAACTACAACGAAAAAATGAAGTTTAACGTTTGCTTGCTTGCAGAGGAAATAGTGCGGTCCTTCTCCCTCTACAATTCTGCTGCTGCAGAAGGCACCTGCTGTTGCTGTTGGTGCGGCTGCAGCAGCCACACCTGCACACCCCTGACACAGGAGGGGTTGGGGTTCTAAGGCAACAGCAACGATATACTTGTCAGACAGTCTACACTAAGGCCGTCTTGTGCGTGCTGTAACGGCCGGATGCATGAAGCCGGCGCCGTCATTCAGGCTGCTGCTCAGTGCATTCAGGCGTTGCATCCGTCGTTGCTGCTGTTGCAGCTGCGCGGAGAGGCAGCTGATATCCCTCTCTCTTTGGCTGTTAACGTTCGCAAGCGACTGAGCAGCCGTCTGCGAGCAAAACGGAACGCACCAACTACTTACAGAGCATGCATCCCAAAGATGCAAGTGAGGTCTATGCATGTGTTCAGGAACTATGGTCCTGTCTACCTACATATTTTAATGATGGATTCGCTCACCTGTACACGTTCAAGTGTATGTACAACTCAGAAGCAACGATAATGAGCGCCAATAGTGCAGACAAGTCGCGTAGGGTTGACAGCCACCTGCTACCGGTGCTGCTGTTGGGCGGCGAGAGTTTGTTGTTCGGCCTGCCAACCGAACTGGCCTCTCGCCAGGCTTTGTGCATGCGGTTGAGAGTGTGGCGCCTGGAGGCGCCGATTGTTCTGTTGTATATCCAGCTTCCCACTTGCAGAATGAGTGCTGCGGGGATCACCGACTGCACCACTTGACTTAATTCACCTCCCCACTGCAGCAGTTGCGACCCCAGGAGGCGGATCCCCTCGAGGACCGCTACAGCCTCCCCCAGAAGACGCACGGAGTCCCGGACGCACGTCTGTACACTGGGCTCACTCTGTTCCTGTCGTGCTGCCTGGGGCGATGAGTTGAAGGGGCCTTGGGGTTGCATGTAAGCCAAAGAGGGGGGGCCGTAGAAGCCTCCAGGGCCGCTGCAGCCTGGAGGCTGCATTGCGCGGAAATGGTGTGTGGGATGATGAAATCACGCTGCCGCCGATACTCTGGCCAACAGCAAACGTTCTTATGCCGAGGCAGATGGAGCGTGTTAAGATGGTTTTTTATGTAAGAAAATAATTAGGGAGCAAAACTCTAGGAAACGACGACGAATCGCCTCAACTGCGGCTCCGTGCTGCGCTCGCGCACAGCTGCATATACACAGCAGCAGCGCCAGCTGTCCGAACTACCAAGCATTCCATCGAGTTTAGCATCCAAAGCAAGGAAACTCAACTGCATAAGTGACACAAATAAAACAGTTGCCCTGAATTGTAACGGAGACAAGCGTACACGGGTAGCAATAGTGTCTCTGATGGCGTTGCATGCTGTCTTGCAAACAGCTGCAGTTTCTGGGGCTGAACGCAGCTGTTTGGGTCCGTCTATCAATTTCGTATATTTATATGCATTTCAATGTATATTTTATACTTATCAATTCTTATGCACAGCTTGAGGCACACCAGCGCATTTCCGGCCAGGCTTGAAGTCTCGTTTTAGCTCCCCACACCGGAGGTAGTTGCGGTGTAGGAAGTCGTCGATTGTATCAGAGAATTGCTGCGAGCTTCGAAGCCAGAATACTTAGAGGACGACTCCATTGAAAGAACCATACATCCATCCCCAGCCTCCAGGCATTCCGAGCACAGCGGCACAAGCGCCTGGAGCTGCGGGAGAGGAGACAGCCTGCAACAATTAGGAAAGCAACAGGTTGCTACATCTGAAGCTGTAAAACGGTTCCACGTGCAAGAACGGACAAGGCTTCTGGTCTGTAACGCTGGAGACACTAATTCGAGAATTCGAGATTGCCTAAAAGTTCCCTGGAGGTGCAGCATTATCTGTACGATGTTGACAAGTCTGGCTGATATGTACAAATGAGTGCCAACCCGACCCTAATTGACATGGGGTATGCAAGCAGAATTTATAAAGAAGTGTATACAGTGTTTGTGTATGTGGTGCTGTCTTGCAATTTGAGTTACAACACGGTGTGTTGTAACCGATTGCCAGGCGGCTGTCTCTCGTTTAGGTCAAACAGATTGGGGCTGGTTAGCTCATAACGCATGTTCTAGGTAGGTTTTTTTGCTGTTAGTTCTTGAATAAAGCGTCCGCCAAGACCGTCGTCGTACCACCAACTTGGAACTACCATCATGGGATTAATGCTGGAGCCCTAGGAAACGGTCCACGGAATCAACTAAATGCCCCAACAGACACAACTTCAGCAGCGTCATCATGCGTAGCTACAACTGGAAGTGGCTGAGAGTCTAAGCATTCGTGTAACAATTCACACGGACTGCAGAGAACGTGCACGTTATTTAGTGGGAGGAAATGTGGCGTAGCAGTAAGAGGACTCTCTTAAGGTGGCCACAAACCCTTTCTCAGCCTAGTTGGGCAACATGCAGCCAAGAACAAATGTTCAAAAGTGGTGTGCAACGTTCTTCCATACAGGGAGGAAATGCAGCGTAGCAGTGGCAGGACTCTCTGAAGTTGGCCACAAACCCTTTCACAGCCTAGTTAGACAGCTGGAATCCAATAACAAATCTTCAACCGTGGTGTGCTACGTTCTTCCATGCAGACAATTCGGTTGTGTGTGCATGTGGGGCCGGCGGTCTTGCACCGTTACTTGCAGCACGATGCTTTGCGACTCATGGCAGGCGTTTGGGATACTTTGATCGGAACTGGGATGGGCTTCATCTACTTTTATTGAACTCTCTCCTTAATTATTTTGACTCCATTGATGCAAAAGATAATATCGAGAGCTCTCCACAGAAGCAGCACCTAATTTTTATGCCTCGTTGAAGCATTGACTACAACACTCGGGTTTGTAGCGTGTTGGGGGTTCGTGACCCTAGTTTTCTGATGCGAGTCGCTATCAGTTTCTCAGCAGTTAACTGGAACGGTTGTACCCATAGCAGCGTCGAGGATCGCCTCGTTCACCCCATGCGACGGGAATCCGGCAAAAACAAACCTAGTCGGAGTGTCTTGGAGGGATACAGTTTGTAGTTAATTTGTCAGTCTAGTTGAGTAAACTGGTGAGAAGGCCTGTGCTGTGTGCGAGCTGCATCCGGCTGTACACAGCGAGCGACACAAAGACGGACGGACACAGGAGCCAATGAACCACTAGCGGCTGTCGGCCTTGCGCACCAAGTGCCTTAAATGAAAACAAAGTTACAGAAAGCCGCAAAACAATTAATGCAAAGGATTTGTTGTTGAATGTTCCTGTTGGTTCAACTCCTATCGAGGCGTTGACGGTTCGCCCGCGCGTCCGCGCCTCTGGTCGGCCGTAGTGGTCGGCGGCCGCCTCGCAGTATCGCTGCATGCGTTGTGTGAGGAATTTTCCCCAAACTTGCGTGAATTCCTGAAGATTGTTGGAAGAAGACAACTATGAATGCCCGAGGAGGCCAACCAATAGTGGACAGTTTTGAACGATGGCAGAGGTAGCGAATTCCCCTCCCACAGGGCCTCCAGCGCGCCAAACGGCTCCTACGGAAAAAGGCCCTCCTGGACCCACATTGATTGAGTTAGACCCTTCTCTTGTGCTTGTTTCTGGGCACAACGGCGCGCAAGATGGGGGTACCTCATCTGCCGCCGCAGCACCCCATGCAGCAGCAGCAGCAGCTGCTGCTGCTGCTGCAACGACAGCAGCAACGGGAGCAACTACTGAAGTACGCGTCACTGAGGCTCGCCGGAGCTCCGCAGCAGCTCGCATGCCTTATGATAGGCCGCGGAGCCGAAAGTTGAACCGAACTTCCAGCAATCAATGCTACGTAGACATGGCTGGCTGGCTAGAGGCATTTCCGCACATGACATTTGAAGACTTGGGACCTGGATTCAGCGCAGACAGCTTTACAAATAGCCAAGGTCTTAAAATCGCAACTTATGCATGGAGGCAGCAGGCGCAGCAGCAGCAACCTGTCGCCGCAGTTGTGCTCTTTCACTCGTACACCTCCTACGCTCTGTTCGATTTCCTCCGTCACCAGCCCCCAATCAGTAGCAGTAGCAGCAACCAGGCTCCGCAACAGCTTCAGGAAGAGCCAGACTGGGTGCCCAAATTTCCTGGTGGGTCCTGATCAGCTCTGCAATGAATACACCCATCCACACCACGCGTCTGTGTGTTGATTGCATTGCATGGTAGGTACGCATGCGGAACTGCTGCAGCAGCTGTTGGAGAAGGATCCGATGCACATATGTGTGTGTTACAATTGGTGATGCTTGGGTGCTGACTGTTTAGGGAGTTGGGTTGAAGGGCTGTACCGCCTGGGGATGAATGTGTATGCAATGGACCACCAGTCTCACGGCCGTTCAGAAGGGTGGCATCAGTGGAGATGTATTGTGTCGAAATTCGATTATTTTGTGGACGACGCACTTCAATTTCTGAAGGAGGTGGTCAGCAAGGACCCGAGCTTGCCTGCTGATGCGCCAATAATTCTTTTGGGCTATTCTATGGGGGGAAACGTCGTCATACAAACCCTAGGGAGAATATACAGCGGCGATAGAGAACTCGCTCTCAGAAAAAGAGTCAATCAGGCCGTTCTTCTGGCGCCCCTCATACGAATAAAACTCGACTGGGCTACTCAGGTCATGGTACGCATCAACAGGTCCCTCATTTCTTGTTGGCTGCCGAACTTGAGGTTTTCAAGGGCAGACAACAGCGGAGATTGTCCATTTCTAGGCTGGTGGTACAGCAGAGACCCATTTACGTATTCAGGTAAGGCATCATCGTGATTGCCGAGTTGAGATTTACTGGCACTCCAGCAGCGGGCGGAACACGCACCAGTGGAGTAATTGACAATATTTATTAAAATGGGTCTTGCTCTGTTTCAGGAAGGACGAAGTCAAGGATGGTGGCTGCTTTGTTCGACGCATCACGAAAACTTCCTCGAATTTTGAGCTGTTTTCCGCCTGAGCTAAAGCTGCTCTGTCTGCAGGGCACCCACGACCAAACTGTAGACTTTCACTCTCCCCTCAAGTTGTATGAAACGCCTGTTAAACTTGATCTCCTTTACTTGTGCGGATGGAGTCATTATGTGCCGAAACACTCTGGTGCAGACCGCCTCATTGGACTCGTCACCGCCTGGCTGTTGAAAGCGCTTGCAGCCAAAGCTGTGAGTCGTTGTTTGACCTTTTCCACTGAATGTGTTTTCAGTTGCATATATGTACGGGCTAACGAACCTACTCGTCTAAGGTGCATAACCACTTACATGCTTTGCTTCTGCTGTATTCTTGTTATTTATTGCGCCGCTCCACCACACTTGCCAAACTGGAAACTGAATCTCCTTGGGGATGACTCTCTCTCGGCACAAACTGAAAATTATCCAAAAAAGGCATTCAGAAGTCTGGATTTCAACGAAGGGTCTCATGCGAACGCACACGAACCCGTGGATCAAGACCTAATATACACAAGCAGGCATACCCATATATTTGCGTGTATTAGTATGTACATGCAAAACATATCCTTATATGTACATTTATGCATATGCAGACTTGTGTGTTGATGTGTGTTGGTGGCAAATGCAGCAACATCTCGGATCTCCACGGCAGAAGTCTTTGGCGAATGAAGCGAATGGCAAAAGGACAGAAGAAGACGTGGGGATGCCACGTTTGACATAAGCAAATGAGAAAAAACGGAGGGGCGACGCAGTATAAAGCTGCCTAGCCCCGTTGGCTAAAGTACCGCATGGGCTCTCTTCATGGGCCCAAACCGTTTGGAAGCAGCCCCAAATGTTCATTTATGCAGGCTTGGGGCTTTCGTTTCTTACATGATGTTTGTTGCTAGTGCAAGCATGTGTGTACTCACTTTGTTGTACACCTAGAGGGCCTGCATGCTATGCGGCCCCTTCTGAGCCCCACTTTAGGGTGTAGCTATTTGCAGACACGGTCATAAATAGAGACCAGTGGACCCACACTGCGCTGACGGAGACCACTGGACCATTGAAGGCTGACTCAAGCAACAGCCTCATAAAGCAGTCACGACTGCGCAGTTAATTTGAATTACTGCAGCGGATATATTTTAACTCTCATTAGACATTTTTGATTTGATTTCACCTTTTTGTTCCACTGTAAAACAAGTCCGATTAACTCTTCAAATTTTATGTCATGGGACAACAGTCCAATGTTGTTGGGGGTCTATAGGGGAGGGCGGAACTTCCTTCAGTGTTCTATTTTCCTGTTTTGCTTTCATGCTGTGTTGTGTATTTTTTGTTACTCTATGTACTAGTATTGATAGTAGTGTGAGTGGCCTTGTTTCTACCTGTTTTTCTTCTCTGCATTCATTTGCCTTTTTGCATTCCTGTTGTTCTATTTGCTTTACTTCCCCACCCGTTTCATCTGTTTTATTTTCCTTGTCTGTTGTATTGTACAACTGTATCGTCATGCAGGTGGCGCTGTGAATCTGTGAATCGTAAGCAGTGTTTAAAGTTCAGGTTTCAGCTATGTTAAAGAAGGGAAAGGGGGAGGGGGGATTAAAGGTGTACAGGCACCTCGAACAAGCCCCCCAATGCGACGGCTACATTGCTGTTCTCATTTATTTCGGCCAGCTGCAGCAGCAAGCAGTGCTGATGCAGAAAACCCTAAAATCTAGATGCTGACAGCCTCTACGCCTCCACCTGAGGAACATCCAAAGAAAAGAGAAGTGCTGCATTTAAGGGTTTAGGGTTCGGCATTGGAGTCTGAGAATTCCCTTTAAGGGTTTAGAGTTTATGGTTGAGTTTGCAGGGAACAGTTACGGTTTCGGGTTTGAAAGGCTTAGTGTTTAGTGTTTACGGTTTAGGGTTTTTCTTGCCTTGCTGTCTCAGTTAGAAGGAAAAACGCCTGCGTCGAACTCGGCAAGCAAATCCGCCATAACCTAAGAACGCAACAAGTGGCAATCGCTACAAAACAGGGGTTTGAAGTTTAGCGTTTGGCTGTGAATGCGCCCTACATATGTATTTAGTGAATCTATATGTTGTATATATTATGCAAATATAGTATAAATGCTAAATATTTATATTGTATATATATATGCAGACGGATAGAAAACTACAGGTACAGATAGATATATAGATATAGATATGCATAAATGTGTATATATGATACATGTTTAAATATAGGTATACTTATATATATGCATAAACACTTGCATGCATGTCAAGGGGAAGAAGAAAGCAGCCGGAAGCTGGTGTATGCATAGGGGCGTTTACAATAATTTTCCTCAGTGACCTAGTTATTCTCCTCGTATTTTTATTTACCTTCTTTAAGTGGCCTCTCAGACCCTCAAAGAAGGAAAGTGTTCTGGCTTGTTTATCCCTCAGTTCTGTCTTTAGCCGTTTGTTTTGCTGCAGCAGACGGACGACAGCTTCTACTACTTCAGGTGTACACGGCGGTCCTTTTCTAAGTCGTAGAGAAATCAAACACAGCCACAAACACAAACAATCCAGCCCAGCTGCTGCTGATGCTATCGTCGCCGCTGTTGCTGCTTCTGCTGCTGCTCTGGCTGCTGCTGCTGCTCTGGCTGCTGCTGCTGCAGTTGCTAAGCAAACTCTCTTATTGCTGCTCCGAATTTTTTTGCCGCCGCAGCAGTTGCTGTGGCCTTGAATCGCTGCAGTAGTAGTTGTTTGCTGCTGGTGCTGCTGCTGCTGCTGTTGTGCTGCCGGTGTGCTGCTGCTGCTGTTGGTTGTTTACTGGAGCAAAATAAAGTGTATGTACACCCGGCATCACAGTTTGAGACGTACGCCTCGCCGCAGCCAAAGGTAATCTGACAACTGTCATTTATTTTATCTGCATGCAGCAGCGCAGCAAACTAGGGAAGGTTGGATGTATACTTTTTTTAGATACAAATTCCCTTTGCTTTTTTCTTTCGTCTTTTATTTCTACCTTCATGGACTCGCGTTGCTTCTTCTGCTGTCTCGAAGAATGCTGCTGGCGATGCCCTCTATGACTGCTGCTGCTGCTGTTTCTGCTGTTATGTCTGTTGTCGCTGCTGTTGCTGTTGCTGTAGTGGGTGCTGCTGTTGTTGCTGCTGTTATCTTTGCTGCTGTTTCTGTTGTTGCTGCGTCCTGCTGCGTGTGCGTCTCCGACTCACTTCTTTTGCTGCTTGTATTGATTTTTTTTCGTAGCAGCTGACAAGCGAAAGCTCCTTTCTTTCTGCTACATCCAGGGGCTGCAGCAGGTTCAGCCTCTGTCTCGGTGTTGCTGTTGTCTGTGTTGTTCTTAGTTTCGCTTTCAGGCGTTGGCTCTACTTCCAATCTTCTTTTTGATCTCTTCTTGAGCTTTTCTTCATCTCCTCCATCTTCTTCTTCGCTACTTCTCAGCGCAGAAAAAAAAACAAAGGACCCCTCAGAAGCAGCCGCAGGAGAACCACCCGTCAGCGTCTCCTCCTGAGGTGCGTCTAGACCTGAAATAGGGTGCAGCGGCCTCCTGCCATTAAAAACAGGGGACGTTAGAGTACAAAAACGGGTGGCTGAGCTGTATGTACACCTCAGCGGTCCTAGTGAAGTTTCGTGGTGAGGGCAAACCGAATTCCCTTTGAACAAAAAATTTACAAACTCAAAACTTTTGTGGTTCCAAGACGAATTCAAATCCGATACCATCCATGACAAATCATCAGGTGCATCTGTTGCTGCTGCTGTTGCTGATGCTGTTGACGGTGCTGCCGACCCATTTGCTGCTGTTGCTGCTTCTGCTGCTGCTGCTGTTGCTATTGTTGTTGCTGTTGCTTCTGCTGCTGCTTCCGATTCTGCTGCGTTTGCTGCTGGTAGTCTGCACGCGTTGCTTTCCAGGGTTCCTCGAGGTGAAAAGGGGAAATCAAAGAATGTTTCCTCCCTTTGACATTCTGGAGCTGCTGCCGCTGCTGTTGCTGCATTTACTACTGTTGCTGCTTCCGGTGCTGTTGTTGCTGGTGTTGCTGCTGCTGCAGTTACTGCTATTGCTGCATTTGGTCCGGATGCTGCTGCCAATGCAACCCTTTTCTTAGTGTTGCGATGCCGGACAGGCGAAAAGGAAGAAAGGAACTGGTTTAGGGTATAGGGGGGTGCTGTGGGTGGTTTTGCTCCTGCTGCTGCTGCTGCTGTTGCGGCTGCTCCTGTTGCTCCTGCAGTAGGGGAGCCAGCAGCGCCAACAGCAACAGCAGCAGCAGCACCCTGCCAAGGGGGGCGGTTGGCTTTAGTTTTCTTTGGAGGTGAGACCCGCGAAGATGAATTTCTTTCGAGTTCATATTGGCAGGCGATTTGCAGTGTCTGTACAAAAAGCGTAACACCAGATAACAAAATAAAAGTCACCAGAGACGTACAAAATACAAGCCAAGAACCAAGGAGCAGCGCGGGTCAATATAGCAAAGTATACGACTTCAATATATTGTCATAAGCTATTTGGTCAATAATTCACTTTACTCTTCATGTGGAGCTGTAAGAGCATTACGAAATGTTCAAGAATAATAGCAAGAGATCAACAAGAGAAGTGGTTCTTCTCACGAAGACAGACAGACATAATAGCACAGGAGGAAGTAGTAGTCACGTGGTAACATACAGTCTTAAGGAGGCCGACGATCTCAGAGATAAAAACTAGCTGTTTAATTGTGGCAGTTTTTAGTTTAGCAATTGCATTTGCTGCAGATTTTAACTTTGGCTTTGCATTTAACTTCTCGCTAATTTCTTTCTTTAAATCTCCTCTGCCTGTCTCGCCTAGCTGCACCCGCCACACACTCGTTATGAGGGGGGAGTCTGCAGAAGCCGCAAGAATCAATGGACAAAACAACAAGTCAGCTAATTGTTTGTAGCATTAAAGACGTATATACCGTACAAGGAGTTACAGATGGTGGGTAGGAAGCAACCACAACACACAAACTGAAACATGCCCAACCCGAAATTACTAACAGCACTCGAAGGGATGGCAAACAAGAAGAAAACGGCAAAAGCCTGCAAGCAATATATAGAGAAACAAATCAGTAATACACAAACAACTGTTCATACAATCGAATAGGCCGACAAGGTAGTAAATATCCAATTAACGCCGATAAGAGCACCTCATAAGCAACAAATAAACGAGTGAACAAAGAAACAAACAAGTATGTACGAATGGGGAGGAAACTAAAAGGCATATACATGAAGTGCTTCTACCAGCAGAATGTTTAGTATTTATTCCTCTATTTGATGCGGAAGTAGAAAGAGAAAACAAACGTGACTACAGGCCGCGTCATCGTTGCTGTCTAACATATCCGCCTAAGGAGTTCCCCAGCATTCCGCTCTTTTTGTAAGCTTGATTGTGTGCAAGAAAGTACAATGAGGAATATATAAATAAATACACAAGCCAAATAAATGGATTTAACATACACGGGGAGGCAAATGAGCTACAAAAGTATTTAAGTGGGGAGATGGAAAAGCAAACTTGGCCTTTAATCTTCCTTGTTTTCTCGTTGTAATTTTGCATCAAATAACTAAATAAAAAATAAGTAATTGACACGTAAATAACTGGGCGACGTAGTGCGTGCATAGTGCCTATATTTGTGTATCTGTGTATTTCCTAATATACTCATTTGCTTGTTTGCCTACTTGTTTAGTTGCTAATCGTTTATTTGTGTGTTTGTTCATCAATGTATCTATCCGTTAATTCGTTTATTTGTTTATTTCTCTATTTGCCTATTTGCTTATTGGAATTTACAAGGAGGAGTAGCAGCAGCTTTCCCGGATAGAAGTGCTGCCGCTTTTGTTTCATCTTTTGTTGGCAATGCGTTTAAGTAAAGTAATAAATCAGCAAAAGAGGGAGTATCTTCTTCATTACTCTTTTCCTCCTCTAATACAAAAGTAGAAAACCCCTCCTCAGCCCCTGCTCCTGCTGTTGCGCCTGCTACTGCTCCTTCTGCTGCTCCCGCTGCTGCTCCTACTGCTGAGGACGGTAATGATGTTGGTGCTTCTGATGAGGCTGCTGTGCCACCTGTGGCTGCAGAAGCCATTGCTTGTGGCGCTCCTGTACCTGGTGTTGTTGCTGCTGCAGTAGCTGCTGTTGCTGCTTCTCCTACCGCTGCCGCTACTGCTGCTGGAGTTGTCGGTGTCATTACTATTGCTGCTACTGCTGCTTCCTTTGCTTCTGCTGTTGCTGCTCCTGCAGTTGGTGCAGTTGTTGATGCAGTGGTAGATGTTGCTACTGCTGTAGTATTTGTTGTTGCTGCTGCAGTTGTTGCTGTTTGTGTAGCTGTTGTTGATTGCGTGGCTGTAACAGCTGTTGCAGGTGATGCTCTTGCTGCTGCTGCAGGCCGGTACAATGGAGGAGAAGACAGGGAGACAGAACGGGACAAAGACAACGACGGCCACCACAGCTGCTGTTGTTGTTGCAACTGCTGCTGCAACTGCTGCTGCAGCTCCTGTACCGGCTGCTGCAGCTGCAACTGCAGGAGCTGTTGTTGTTGTTGCTGCTGCTGTAGCTGCTGGACCAGGTGCTGCTGCTGTAGTTGTTGCCTTTGCGGCTGTAGGTGCTGCTGCTGCGTTAGTTGCTGCTGTTGCGGCAGCTGCTGCTGATGATCGCGCGATGCTGCCCCCTCTTCAACCAAGGCGCCTCTGCAGCACCCGCCAGCAGCTCGAGGCATGTCAGAAACGTCCAATGCATCTGTTGTTGCTGCTGCTGTAACTTTTGTTGTTGCGTCTGGTGTGTCTGTTGCTGCTAGTGCTACTGCTTCTGTTGCTGTTGCCGCTGGTGATGTTGCTGATTCTACTGATGCTGAATCAGCTGCTGCCTCTTCTGTTGCTGCTGTTGCTGCTCGTCTTTCGGGTGCAACTGAATCTGCTGCCCCTGCTGCCGTTGTTTCCTCTCTTGCAGCTTCAGTTGCTGCCTCCCTTCCCCTTTCGGTTGCTGCTGCTTCGATGACCCTTGTGGCTTCGGATATCGCTGCAACAGGTGCTGCTGCAACGGGTCCTACTGCAGCGGTTGCTGCTAGTGGATGGGTTGCCTCATCAGCAGCTGCGGCAGCAGCAGCTTCTGTACGAAGCATTGGTTTCCCGTGGCCAGCGTTGCAGCAGGTCTCTAAGTGAGGGAGAGGAAGTGAATTACATTTAACATCTGAGGAGCCAGCAGATGTATAAAAACAAGCACGACCTGTCTGTGTTCGTTGTCTTTGCTTTCTTGTATTCGTTTATTTTTCCTGTTTGCTTGCATTCATCGTTGCTGCCCTTGTTTATTTGTTACTGACTTAGTTTGCTTGTTCCTGTCTCTGCTATTATAAGCTTGTTCACTATGTTTACTTGTGGCTGTTTTTGTCTTCCTTTTCTCTCTCTGTCTTGTTTTTGTGTCTCTCTGACTCTGCTTGGTAGTTTCTCTCTTTCTTTATCTCCTTGCCGCTCGTTTATTTGCTTGTTGCTCTCTCTCGTCGTTTGTTTATCTGTCTTGATCTGTGTTTGTTTGTCTCACTACTTTTGTTTGAATCCCCTTTTTTGTCTCTCTCTGTCGCTCTGTTTGGTTGTTTCTCTATGTCTTTGTTTCCTCGTCTATTTGGAGAGTGAACTGTACATTAAAGCCTCGGTGGGCTATTTGCGTGGTTTGTTTTGCTTGCTTTATTTATGTGCTTGCCCTGTTAACGGCTGATGACACACTAAGCTATTTGCTGTATGTCTTTTCCTGATGTTTTGTATTACTTTTATGAATATGTTTCCTTATTCTTTGTGTAAATAAGTATTTTGTTTTACTTGTTTAATCATCGTTCTATTTCTTCTTATTTCTTTGTGCCTCACCGCGTGTTTCCGCCACCGTGAGCCGCATTTGCTTGATTGTGATTCTTTATGGCTTTTTTGATTTATTCTGTCCCGTGGTAGGGGAGCTTTGGAAGACAGCTGCTTCAAATTGGGCTCAATCCAGTTTCATTATGTGTTGCTTCCTAAGAGCTGTCTCATGATGGCGTCGCGTCTGATCAGGGTCTTTGCTTTCTAAAGCAAGTAAGAATCCTAGAGAGTGACTGCAAACGGCGGGGTGAGTACACACCGAGCGAGCACCCAAGAGGCAGCAGAAGGAAAACGGGTGAGTGAAAACTCTTAAATGCTACAAAAGACAAGTTTAAAGGGGAATAAATTTATTGGCATTTAATGCGCTGCGTAATTTGCCGGAAAGTTCCGCAATCGAGCGACAAGACGGTGCCCGGCATGCATGTAGCCGTTAGCTGGAAAGAATGAAACAAAGTAAAAAACGAGATAAATAAGTAAAACTAAATATATTTTAGCCAAAATTAATAATATGAAACAAAAACTTCTAGAACATCAAGTGATTTCAGACTTGCTTTCGAAGGATTCTGCTGCGGCGGCATCCCTCGCCCTCAGCCCGTGTGCAAGGGATGCCGGTTGCTTAACTTCGGCTATTTTTTTCATTTTTTGCTTTTCTTTTAATTTAATCCATTGAAATAAAACAAAATAATTCAATTAAAAGAAATAAGAATAATAAAAGGTAGATAATATGCCACCGTTATGCCGCTCATGCATATTGGCTGCCTCTACGATTACCGTAGCGGATGAACTACCGGCAATTAGCGAAGGCATTCTACAGCGCATATCAGTTTTATAAAATATTTATTACGCAATAGTTTTTGTATGCTTTTGAGTAATATTTAAAACAAAAAATAAACATGTCAAAAGCAAACTCAAATACATAAACTCCATGGCAACCGACCTGCTCACTGATGCATCTAAAATTATTTCGCACAGATTCTGCAGCCGCTTACACCGGTAGTCTTACACAGAGATGTACATTTATAGATATACAGGTTTCTAAACATACATGTACATGCATTCTGTACAGGTACAGAAACCTATATCCACATGTATATATGTATTTACATGCAAACATGTATATATATGTACATATACGTATATATGCATATATATGTATATATATGTATGTGTGTTTGCGTAGAAACACATATCAATGCTATCAATAGCTATGCGTCGAACCATGTATAGGGCATTCGTGTAGAGGCATTCATGCAAATAACTGTAGTATTAATTGTTGTTAAAAAAGTACATATATAGAAAGATAATACTAATTAAAAGAGATAAACCACTATAATAGGCAACAGGTAGAAAGGTAATAAAAATAATGTAGCCGAAGGGAATGCATAAGCATCGTGGTAATTAAAGATAATGACGCTAATAAGGAAATCATGCGCGGCGATTCACCACTGCAGCCTTCCAGTATACGGCCACCATATTTTGTATCAACGCAAATTCACCTGAGCAGCACTTCATCGTTATAAATGGACTAAATTTGCTTTTGTTATTACTGCGGTTATACTGCTAGTATGGCTTATTATTGCTACTACCTTCTGCTTTTTAAAACGAGGACAGATAATGCGGCGTGCAGCAGACGACTGTTGACACATGATGCGCCCTTATCAGCTGGAAAAGTAATACGTTGGACAACTTGAGAAGAACAAAGCAACATCCAACCTTTAACAATACACTGGAAGAAACACTAAACCCTAAGCACTAAACCGCGAACCCTAGACGCTAACCCACTGTTTCGGCACATAACACCAACGAACCCAACTCGTCTCTTTCATATTTCTTCTAGCCGTTCGATTTCTCATAAGAAAAGGTGAAAATGTCTCTAAGGTGACTTACGCTGACAGTAGAAAGGTTCGCAAATGCTGGAGTGGGGCTCAGGTCATGGGCGAGATTTCTTAGAAACAGATCGGGAAATGCAACTTGCTACCAACTGTAAAACTCAAAAAGGCTCCTAAACTCGCGGAGTCTAATATTCGTTTTATTTATATTGAAACTAATCATAAAGAGCAAAATCTACAGAATTTGTAATGTACAGAGAGAAGAAGGCGAATCATGCAATCCGCAGACATCGGAATATGGTTGAGGGTTTCTAGTAGCGTATAGCCTTTTATATGCATCATTTGCATAAACGAGGTTGAAGGTACAATAGTTTGGAAGTAAATAAACGCACAGGAGAGGATAAACACAGCAGACACCAGAAGAACCAGAAACGGAAGGGCAAAAAGCAGTATAGTACATAGGCGTTGCGGCTCCTTTGTCGGCATATACGCAGCACACCGCTATTCTTTCCCCATCCGTTTCGATAGTAAGCGCAAATAATAAACTAATGCAAACAAATGCGTGAAGAATGTCGATAATGATATGCAGTAAGAGACGAGTTCCCGAGCACTGCACGAAGGTGAGGTTGAGAGAATAGGGCAAATTCATGAAAAATGAGAGTAACATAGAGAGAAGAAATGCTTCAATCCGTGAAAAAACAAAAATTGATTTAAAAGAATTAATTTTTGATTTATAATCGCGCCTCCACCATCGAAATATTTAAAAGCGTCCGTCGGCCTGACCACCGGCCAACGTAGTCTAGAGAGCGGAAAGTGAATGAAAGTGGACGAATTTTCAGCTGTTTTTCGGCTTTTTAAGTTTAATATGGAAATGCGTGACAAATAAACTCCTATTGAGCAAAGAAGAAAGAGAAGCGTCCATCAGAAAAGCACCCTTTTTGCCTACTCAGCTTGGGGCGGCGGTGCTCTTCATCGCCGATGCTGCTGAAGCACAGCGTATAGATCAAATGTGCGGTTAATTAGATGGAATAAGGGAGTTTACGCTTAGTTTTAATTAAAATGTATTTATTTTTCTCATTTAATTTCCTATAGGAGAAAGGTGTTGGGTGGGACGCGCCTCTTGGCGAGCCCTGCAGCAGAGCCGCGGCCGGTTAAAGAGTCCAAAGTGCAATCGCCTCTTGCGTTTTGGGGGTCCTTTTCTCCATGTGTTTTTCCTTTTCCTCTTTTATTTCATAAGTGACTTTAAATTACTTCATTTCGAGCTCAGGTGTATCCTGAGGTCATATTTTCTCTCCTCCTACCACCTTGTTTTGGGCGACTCCGTCTTCCGGGTGTAAGGGGTGTTGGGTGTTTCTTATAGCCCATCCCCTTTCTGTGGTATTGAATTTTTACTTCTTTTCTCTTCGCATGCAACACAATGGGGCTGTGTTCAAAGACTAAGGCCCGCTCCCCCTCCCACCGCAGTAAGCCGGTGGAGTTGGAGCCTACTGGAGCAGCAGCAGCATCAGCAGCAGCAGTTGCGAAGGAGCCTCTCCCGGAGGGAGATCTGCATGCAGCAGCCCCAGAGTGCCCAGGGGATAAGCAGACGATTGAGGGAGAAGAGGGAGCATATCCTCTTCGTACGACACCCTCATCAGCAACAGCAGCAGAAGCAGATTCTGCTGCAGAGAGGCCCCCCTCAAGAAAAGAAATAGATGCAGGCATCCATGGCATTGCCCCTCCTGCCCGTAACGACTCTGCCGCTACTTCGTGTGCAGGTATGACGGATGCAGGTGGTCTAAGCAGAGCTGCAACACTGCAGGCAGCAGCAGAGAAGGAAGCAAAGAAAGAAGCAGAGGATGCGAAGGAAAAACAACCAGCTGAAGGAGCAGAGAAAGAGAGAAAGGAGCAGCAGGAAGCACCAAAGGAGAAGCAGCAGCAGGAAGAACAGCAGAATGTTGACAAGAAAGAGATAAAAGAAGAAGCAGCAGGGGAAGCAAAACCTCAAGAAGACAATCAGGCAACACAAACACCACCACAAGAAGCAGCATCAACAGCAGCAGCAAAGGAAGAAGAAAAAGGAAATATAGAAAAAGAAGAAGAAAAAAGGGAAGAAGAACAAGGAGTTGCATCTGCTGCTCAAGAATTCACGCTTACTATGCAGCAGACCTTCACCTCCTTCAAGGAGAGCCTCAGCCGTAGCTACAGGAGTCTTCGCTCCCAAGCCTTGGACACGAGGGAGGAGGCAGCAGACAGCAACCAAAATAGCAACAGAGACAGCAACAGCAGCAGCAGCAACAACAACAACAATAACGGCAGCAGCAGCAGCAGCAACAGCAACGGCAGCAGCCACATACCTCCGATTCCCCTACCACAGCAGTGTATGTGTGGCGTGCTGAATGAGATAACAGACTTTGGCGAGAAAGCAATTCCTTGTGTCTTAGGAGAGCATGCAGACAGTGATACAGAATTGGTAGGTGTAGGGTTGGTGCCTCCTCTAGAGATAACAATGATTGTCAATACACCTGGAGGTGCTTACCTACGTACTATTCCTGCAGAGCTTATTCA